ATGAGAGAACTCCAAAAAGAGGAGCCAGCTAATAATTTAACTATACCTGCTTAAATCCCAAGACTAGAGCCAGATTGAAAAATTATGGGTCCAAAAGGGATGATGGAAGGCCCTCTTTCATGAAAACACTTCCCTTTACCAGTCCTTCCAAGATCACATCTCCCTGTTACCAGTTATTCATTCACTCAGTACATTATTTGTTTACTCACTCATTTCAACATATCTCTTCTGTTTTTCAAAAAACAGGCAGTTTACAAAAAGGAGAACAGACAAAATAAAATAAAACTATAATCCAGTGTATTTGAAAACAAGTGAGGGCATGTCAGAAAAAGTGAAAAGCATATTATCTCAATACACATGCTTCATAAAGTATAACAGACTTATTACTTTTAAATAGACACACTCAGAGCAAAGATGAGAATACCCTAGATACACAGAGGGAACTGAAAGCTGATGCTGAGAGGTGTTGATGCTAAATGGCTTGGGAGGAACCAGGGGCAGACATGTGCCATAAAGTTAAGTGTGAGATTTAATGTCAATGCAAGGTTGGTGATGCTTACAGGATTTTCTTAAGGGAAAATTAGTACTGAGCTCTTGAATCAAGTCAGAAGCATAAAGTGCTATCCTATCAGGAAACGGGAAACATAAAAACTATATCCAACTAATTTTCAGGGACACTGACTATGTAGGGTCCCAAATGGAAAAAGAGTAACCTTGGAAAACTTGAGATCCCCAGTTGTGATCCATGTTAAGGGGCTAATCAAATGCACACGACCTGCTCAGTGAAGGAACCTAGACCTAAGGATTTCAAAAAAAATACTGCGGCTTGGAACTGGCGAACCCCAGACACACCTGGCAGAGATGCAGTGAAAACTTATCACAGTGATGCCTTCACAACTCAGAAAACATGAGATGACCCAAACCCTTTCTTTGATGAACTCATAGCTAAAATTACAGATGACCCAAGAAGACACACAGCCATGAGTGGGACCACAGCAAGAGTAAGTAACAGAATTCCTGCATTTGTGAAGCATAAATACCAGAAGGAAACATGTGATAATTTCATACAATATGTTTAAAATCTGAAAATAAGAGGAGAAAATATATGCATAGGCAAAATAGAGAATTTAAGAAAATCTCAGATAAAATGTCGCTCAGTCATGTCTGACTCTTTGTGATCCCATGGCCTGTAGCCTGCCAGGCTCCTCTGTCCATGGGATTCTCCAGGCAAGAATACTGGACTGGGTTGCCATTTCCTGCTCCAGGGGATCTTTCTGACCCAGGGATTAAACCCAGGTCTCCTGCATTGCAGGCAGATTGTTTACCATTTGAGATATCAGGAAGGGAAGGAGGAAAATGGGGTGACAGAGGATGAGATGGTTGGACAGCATCACCAACTCAATGGACATGAGTTTGAGTAAACTCTGGGAGACAGTGAAGAACAGAGGAGCCTGGAGTGCTGCAGTCCATGGGGGTCACAGAGAGTCAGACACAACTTAGTGACTGAACAACAACAACAGATAAAAAGTAGATTTCTTAAATATGAAAACATGATCACTGAGATTATAAACTCATTGTGGATGAAATATTCACCAGAATACATCACAAAGAAGTAAAGAAGTGGGAACTTTGAGGAAAAATTGCAGCACCTGGAGCACAGAATGGACAGTGCAACAAACAATTAAAAAGTTTCAGGAGGAAAAAATACATAAAGGAGGAGAAGCCACATGTGAAGGGAAAGGCTGAGGGTTGGTAAGAACTAAGCAAAGACATGCATCCTCAGGTGGAAAAGAAAGATCACATCTGGTCACTTAGGGAATTAAGAACCCATGCATATCTAGAAACAATATAGTGAAAACCAAGCCTCCCTCCCTATCCTCCAAAAAACAAACCTGAAAAGCATACAAAGAAGAAAGACCCATTACCTATAAAAGAATGCAGTGGGGTTGACTGAAGACATTCCTTAGCAACAACAGAAGCTGAAATTCAATGCAATAATATCAAAATACTAAGGGAAAATAAGAATTTTATACTCACACTATTGTTCAAGAGCAAATTAAAATAAAGCAGATAAAGACATTTTAATAGAAACAAAAACAGGAGCTGCCACTACTCACAGATATTAAATAAAAGAACTAATAAATGTTACACATCAACAAGAAGGAAAATAAACTTGAAGGAAGAAATAATTTTTACAAAGCACTGATGAACAAATAAAATGATAAAGAATGCAGGGAAGTCTAAATAAATATTGACTACAGTTACCATCTGGAACTAAAATTCTAAGAAATAATTACATGGAAGAGACATAATGATTAACTTTATAATTTATTAAATTAAGAAGTGTTAAAATTTCAATGGCAATTATAGAAAGAAAAATATATAGGATCCCCCTTCTCGCTCCTCTCTCTCTCCATATATATATATATATATTTCCCAACCAGTAAAGGAAAAATAAGAATAAAGCAAACTTGATCAATCCTTTAGCGGTTAAGAAGATGGGGGATGTGGGGTGTGGAGGAAACCAAAGAAAAGCAGAGTAAACAAAACATAAAATAAGAGAGTAGGAGTGAGTCCACAGGCATCAATAAAAGAATCAAATACAAATGGAATAAACTCACATTAATATACAAAAGACATCAGACTGAATGAATACATTAAAAAAGCAAAAACACAGTAACAACAGATACTGTTTGCAGGAAGCAAACCCAACGAATAAAGTCCCCAAGAGCACAGAAACATGTATAGTCAATATGATGCAGGCTCAACATTTCTGATATACGGATTGTGTGCAAATGCATTTCTATTATATTATGTTCTGTATTTTTCTGTATCTTTGTAGTATTTCACAGCAAGAATTTTTAAAAAGAAAAAAAAGAAAAATTAGGATATTAACATGAAAGAAAAATGAAGGAAAAAGACAGAATATACTAGGAGGCCAGTATTGAAAGTGTAGGTGTCAAGTTTCCCTGTGAGAAGCATCCAAAGACCTCACTCTGAGCTTTCTAACTGCCAACACAAATAGGGAACTGTAACCCGCACCTATTTCACAATTCTCACGCTCAAAATCCAACTTGTTGCTCAAGAGAAACCCAGTAATTTGTAATGATGCCCAAGGGAACGAACTTTGATGGGTTCTCATAAAATAATGCAACAGAAAAGAGACAAAAACTTAAATAATTAAAAGCAAAGACAGAAAAGACACCAACTTGTTTTTTTCTTTTTTTCAGGGGTAATTCCATGAAATGTTTTCCCCAGTTCCTGGAAGTCTTTTCATCTTTGTTTTGGCATCATCTTTTGTAATGCCTTAGTCACTTTCTCCTCTCCCAGCCATCAGGGATAAATGTTGTCTTAATTGTGATGTAGAAGATATAAAAACACTCATCCAATAGGAAGATGTAGCAAATGAATCCCTCTGCTTTAGAAATAAGGGCCCGTCCCCTTGGTGATACTTGTTTCAGCCACATCACTGTTTGCATGCCCTTCAGTCCTGCTGCTCAATAAACCTAGTCTGTTCAGAGCTTATTTTGTTAGCATTTTTTATTTCCAGTGGAAAACTGACAGGTTGACCTTGGCAGATTCCACTGACGATTGTGTAAGTCTAAAGGAAGAATTCACGGAACAAATTCATTCAATGCTCATTGATGGGGGGAAGGGGATGATCAGGTTCACCACTTCTAAAAGGGGGCAGGTAGCTTTGGGATTGTACACATATAAGTGATGCTTTGCCTTGTATTGGCTCGGTGCCCGGAAAAGCATCCCATGGGGTACGGAGGGAAAGGAAGACCATTTCTTTCTAGTTTGCTCAGCATGTTTGTGAGACAAACTGTCACCCTGCTGCAGCAATTCAAGTTGCCCACAAATGCTGGCTGCACCGCTGAAGTGAAACGCAATCAGTCAACTCACTCCAGGCAGGCCTAAAATGATAACTGTAGCCTTTACAAAAGAGGCAATGATGATAGGAGAGAAAATTTTTCTTAAATTTATTTCTAATCCCGAGTTATTAATGACAGACAGAGTTTTCCTTTCCTTTAGATTTCATGATGAGAAAGAATAGGTCAGTTGACCTATTATGAAGTACTGTAATATTGCACTCATTAAGATTTCCTAGTAGCTCAGATGGTAAAGAATCTTACTGCAGCGCAGGAGACCTGGGTTCCATCCCTGGGTGGGTAAGATCCCCTGGAGAAGGGAATGGCTACCCACTCCAGCATTCTTGCCTGGAGAACCCCATGGACAGAGGAGCCTGGCGGGCTAAATTCCATGAGGTTACAAAAAGTTGAACACCACTGAGCCATTAACACTTTCACAAGATTCAAGAGCAAAGTCTATGGAGGAATCCTAGAGTGACTGGGTTTTTACCAGGAGGTGGTGAAGTGGGAGCTCTGGTCACTCAGTTGTCCCATCTATACCCAGGGATCTCCTGGGAGACTGCTGGACGGCGACTCATAGCAGTCAGAGATGGCGGAGCCGGTGGGCTTCAGGGAGCAGAACATGGAATCAGAACGGACGCTGGCCAAACTGAGCCCAGGGCAGGCTCTGTCTTCAGTACACAATAACGTTTGTTTATTAGAAACAATATCTAGTGATTCTGCTCTTTCTGGGTAAAGGTATTGGGCTACATTTCTTAGACATGGGTATCAGAATAATATGGAAATAAAGTGAAATGATTCTATTTATTTAAAAAAATCCCTGTAAGGTGAGTCTACAGGGCCACTTTGAAAAGTCAAAATTACTATAACTAAGACACAGGGGTCCTCAGCCTCACAGATCCTGAATTAACCTCCCCAGCCCCACACTGTCTCCCATCCTGCCCCCCACCTTCCCCCTACCCTTCCCCCCACCCTTGTTACATAAGTGCTCTGTTGGGAAATGCGCATGCTCTTGTATACAGTATAACTGAGTCTAGTTATCCTCTATATAGTACAACTTTAGTATAGCTGAGTCCGGGGGAAAGGCACACCCCGTGAACATCCCCATGGTGAACCGCATGTACTTACTTGGGTAAGACCAGAACCTGCACGATAAAGATGCAGAAGAAGATGAGGCAAGCGCAAGTCACGTAATACTTGAAGGCCGGCAGCGCGGTGGCTCGGTACTGCGGGGAGAAAAGAAATCAGGAATGACGGTCCTCCGAGAGAAGGGCTGAAACAAGCCCCCAGCAGCCTAACTGTGCCCGGTTCAAGCATCACGCTTGCAGGGGGTGGCAGAAAACGAGCTAAGGACAACAGCTGTTCATCCTTGACAATGTGCGCTTCCTCCCTGCAAACGAGCTGTGAGAGGGACTCCAGACCACGGTTTTTACCAGTCGACCTGTTCAGAAGCCCATTTAGAGGTAACTGAAGCCCTCCGGCAAGGAGACAGAGCGCCTGGCCAGAGACACGAGAGAGCAACCTTGAGGTACCAGGAGTGAGCAGGCATCCTGGCTCCCCTGAGGGTCTGAGTTCCACGGCTACTTGGGGAAAGCAAGTGGTTTTTCATAGAGGGGTACTTGACTTTGAAGAGTATGGAGGAAATGCAGTTTGCTCGTTTTATTTACCCATTTTACTCTTTTATTATATTATTGAGAGGTGGTGAGTGAAGTTACAAGACCAGACCAGCAGGCTCTACTCTCTATGAACATTTGTTGGCCCGTCTGGGCCGGGCTGTTGGATTCTTTCTCCTCATGCTGTGGAATCGGCTGGTCCACATGGCTTTCCTCAACATCCAGGATCGTAAACTGACCAGCGCAGCTACCCGCCCGAGGCTGCCCCTGGCGAGTTATGCAGGAAAAGCCAGCCAGCCTTGCACTCATGATGACAATGATCCGTCACATGTCCCCTTATACTATGTGATGGTCCGCCAGGCACGTGCAATACTTTGAGTGGACTGAGTCATTTCATCCTCAACAACAACTGCCTGCAGCAGGAACTATTACGGTCCCTAGTTTTGGATGAAAAAAACTTCGAACCAGGATGACTCATGAACATTCTCAGAAAGACACACAAGCACAGCAGGATCTCCACCCAGGGGGACTGGCTCCCGAACCCAGGCTTCCAAACTTACAGCTCCTCCAAAAGGATTCTATGATAAAATTTAAGGAAATAAGGTTTTTGTGGCAAGCCTACCAAAACCCCCTGAAACAATGCTGCTGGCAAGCTGCATTAGTGTGTCTGCACAGACTGTTTCCCAAGTTATCGGAAGTTAGGTATGTATTTTGGGGGTTTAGCCTCTGGGGTTTTGGTGCAGATAATGGATCTCTGGGTTGTCTGGCTTCTCTTCTTTGTCTTGCAGCCTTTTAACCCTCCTGCTGGCCTGCAGAGAAGGCTGGGGGCAGGAGGGCAAGAAGTGAGCTTGAATCTCAACGCTGTCTAAAGTCAGTCTCAAAGGCAGCCTCTGAGAATACGTACACCAGGGAAATGTCAGCACACGCTGCATGTTTCAATAAACATCACTTTCTATTTACTAGAATATTCCTTTGGTTGCTTTTGTGACTTCAGAGCCAGGGTAAGTTGCAATGCTGATGAAGAAACTAACATAATTGCTGAAACGTGATTATATTTTATGTATTCAATTATGCCCTTATCTTCTTTCTCTGGGCCTGTGTAGAGACATGAGTTGGAATTTCCTTGTGGTATTAATAAAGGAAAAGGACTTCTATCAGGAAGGAACTAATTTAATATTTAAATAATAAGTAGTCATTAGTCTCTAAATTCTTTGATAACAATAATAATAATAAATTGTATCAAACATCAATTTGCTAAACTGTCTGTAGTCAAAGTTCCTGACTTAGAAGCAGAAAAATGATCTTCTTGACCACTAACTAGTACAAAAGATTGCTTTGGCATCACTGTAAAATCCAACCTTGATGAGCTTTGGAAGGAATTAGGAATTTTGATATTTGCTATATCCTTTCAATATCCATAAAATAATGAACTAGATTTTCTCAATGAAGTTTTAATATCTGGGCTGTGACTGTTGCCATTATTATAGTAGCTTTTGTTCAAACTAAGACTGTAATTACAAAGCAAAACGGTACAAATGACCTCTACCCTGCTCTTTTTCTAGATCAACATGAAACAAAAGGCAGATGAATAAGGCCAACCTACAACAGTTGTCCTTTCTGCAACAATAATTCATTTTAGCAAATCCTGGTTTAAGCTTGACTTGTACAAATTATGTCTGCTTATATATTTGTGCCTGAAACAGCTCTGCTTTAGGAGTCATAATGTGAACGTATTTAAATGTACCAAACGTTAAAAGTTTGGTATTTCTAACTCTCCCAACCAGGGGTTCATTCTTCTCATACTCTTGTAAAAAGTTAAAATAATTAGTATTGTCAGAAGGGGTTTTGCTTTCTTTTAAAACATTTATGTCTAAGAAAATGTCCCACTGAGAAAGCAAGATATTGTTTGTTTGGTCACACTGCATGGCATGTGGGATGTTAGTTCCCCCACCAGGGATCAAACCCACACCCCTGACACTGGAAGCATGGAGTCTTAATTACTGGACCGCCAGGGAAGTCCCAAGAGAGCAAGATATTAACTCCTTCCCTTCCCTTCACCCCACATCTCACAGATTATCATTAACTAACAGGAACGTTGAGAGAGGTGACGAGCCAAAGACAGAAACCTGGTAACCAGAAATGTGGTAAAACAAAACTCGCACAGAAGAGCCACAGGAAAAGCTAGAAAGAAATCTGATATGGTTACAGGCAGTTTAAATGTCACATTAAAAAACATGAATATAAGTTCATGATGGAGTTTTTAAAAGCTAATATTTTGGAAAAATGATTGATTTTGAAGAAAAAAATAGCTTACTTCTTTTTCTAATATTTTATTGTAGAAAAGCAATGAGATTCTCTGAATGTCTTCGGACTTGAGCCATTGCCTGGAAATAAAAAGGACAGACATATCATTAAAACCAAACCTCCAACCAAACACCTGGAACTTTTTAAAAAAAATTACTTTCATTCTTCTTTTTTCATATTGCCAAATAACTGGAATATGGAATCTAGGTTTGTTAACAAGATCTGCAAATGTAATATTCTTATTCACACACTGCCTTCCTTTGAAAATTTTATATTGCAAACCAGCTGTCATACCAAATTGAAAATCAAGTTATCCAACTTAAATAATTGGGGAGATAAGTCATTAAAAGGACTCAAGTACATCAATGAGTTTATTTGCTAATGTTTTACTGAAATCATGTGGTTAGTTTCATCTCCTAAAAGGGTTTGGTTCATAGAGAAGCACTATTTTTCTCAGTTTATAGAAAGCAACTCATCACAGAGCATCAGAAACATTTAGAGTGGCTTCCAGGTCTGGGCAAGAAGACTTTACTCCTTTCATGCTTACTAAAAATACTTTCATTGTCATATTTTTCATTTCTGAAAGGTAAAAAAAAATTGTGCTTGAACTGTTTTCAAAAATGGGTAAAAATACTAACAGAAGAAGCAGTTGGGTCAGATCACTAACATAGTACATTGATGCCAACATAAACCCACACATACATAATACATATATACATCTCAGATGTTCAAAAATAAAAGTTACATGCAAGTAAGCATTCTGACACATTGACTTACATTGAGAAGTCTGTTTTGAGAAAGCAGTTGAGGTAGAGAAAGATCTTAAAGACAAAACCCTTCACCAGAACATCAAGTATAATCCCTGGTTAAACAGCCACCCTGGTGTATGATCCAGCAAGCTGAGCATAAAATGCCTGGTGTAGTCACATATTTTGCAAATAAAATAAACATATACTTTATGAAATAGAGCTAAGTGAAACAGAGAGATACACATTGTTACAGTCATGAGTATAGAAATATAAGAAAAATTGAAATCAATGCATCAAGAAAAATACCTAGAAATAAACACTAACAAAATAAATTACCATCTAGGGTAAGTCATAACGCTTCGGGAATTGTGACTTCTACTGTGTTTCCTGATTTTCCTTTAGAATAAAACTTTTATAGTTATAAAATAATTACCTGAATGACATGCATCTGTGCATGTAGTGTATATATATATATATAAATACCTGCATATTTATGTATATGTCTACAAGTACATATAACAATATAGCTATATCTACATCTATACCTATATATCTGTATAAAGGGAGATATATATATATATATATATATATATATATATTCTTCTGGAGATAAAATTATATTTTTTGTATATAAAATTTTATACCTGTGCAAACAATGACCAATTCCCATGAATTCCTACATAGTTATGTCTCTTTGGATTTTGATTGTCTGCAACATATTTAGAAGATAAAGATAAATGGGGAAGGTCTTTGAGGATCCAGGAAGAAAGACCAAGTGATTGTCATGCATTATTCTGTAATGACAGGGACAGCCACGTCCCGACTTCAGAGTCAGGTTTCAATGTACACTGAGGTTTCACAGGACAGTTAACAAGCAAGCTAACCCAGACCAGCCCATCTGAGGAGAAGCATCTCCAGGGCTTCCTGGAGATCCACATGCCCAGGCCCTCTGGACAGTTCCAAAGATGCTCAAAGCTCATGCATCACCATGAACTTGAGTTTCCCAGGAGACTAAACCATAGCAGTGCAGTTTCAGCCGAGGCCCAGAAGTCAGTCATCTATTCCAGAATGACTGCCATTAAAAATGAGAACTCTAAAAATACTTTTGGATTCAAGGTTATAAGCTTTACATATCAGGGCAATAAACTTTTTTCTTTTTAGTATTTCTTATGACTGCACCAGTGGCAGAGATCTGTTATTGCTCTCTTTTATGGGGCTAGTTGGAGGAATCAAAGGTTGGTTACTATTAGAAAGAGCAGAAAATAAAATTTAAGATAGATTTTAACTGTCCTCATTTTTAGAACCCTGTATTCATTATGGATATCAAACTATGAATAATGTATGCCAAGAACTTATTAAAAAGTTTTTTTTTCTTTACTGAGAATGAAAAATCCATTTTAAAAAATGCTCTTGGATAATATAAGCTTGGAAATAAAATATGAATGAAATTTATAAGGCGGAGATAGAACCAGCTCCTCATTAGTGGGGCCCCCATATTTCTACATTTTAGTCACCTGTTTGTCTTGCAGGTGGACAGGATGTACTCAAGATAAGATCTGGCTTTCCTTTTGTCCCTAGCACCTACCATAAGTTCATAAGACTTGATCCCTGGATGGAAGCTTGGGGAAATGACTGAATTCCAATTGCTGATTCTAGGAATTTGCCCATTGGAATCCTGGCTGCACATTAGTTGTGTCACTGAACAACAAATTAGCCATGAGGCCATTTTGCTACAATAGATAAAATGGTTGATTCACAGCTTTGGATTCATTCCACTAGAAGATGATAATATATCAATCCTAACAGATCCTTCAGTGAGCAGTCATGTCTCCCATCCATCAAAACCAGAAGTTTACCAAACTAAGGCAAATACATAGAAGGCAGGCCAGTAATCCGCAACAGTCTCCAGGAACATTAATTGTTGGTTCTTTGACGTCTTTAGACATAACAGCTTGCTTTCTGTGCTGTCTCTGCCAAACTTATCACGCAACTGAAGTCGGAGGCAAAGAAGACTCAGGCTCCTATCCTCCCCAGCCCCAAAATGAATGGCTGTGTGATTGCTAATGAGTATAAATTTCTGAAAGTGGTGAACACTTTTTTGCTGTTTGATAGTGAACATGATGTAGACAGAACTGTGGTATTTGGCACAGGACTTGGTTTAGATGATTTGGGGAAATATAAGCACTGGCCATGTGATGGGACATTTCAGTAGAGTCTGGGTACGTCTCACCAGTGATACACATTACACATGTTGATGAGACATAGCAGCATCCCTCTGCTCTATTCCCAGCGGACTCTGAAGGCACTTAGAATTACTAGCCTGCCTTTTATGCATTTGCCTTAGTTTGGTAAACTTCTGGTTTTGATGGATGGGAGACATGACTGCTCACTGAAGGATCTGTTAGGATTGATATGTTATCATCTTCTAGAGGAATGAATCCAAAGCTGTGAATCAACCATTTTATTTATTGTAGCAAAATGGCCTCATGGCTAATTAGTTATTCAGTGACACAACTAATGTGCAGCCAGGATTCCAATGGGCAAATTCCTAGAATCAGCAATTGGAATTCAGTCATTTCCCCAAGCTTCCATCCAGGGATCAAGTCTTATGAACTTATGGTAGGTTGGCCAAAAAGTTCATCTGGTTTTTCCATAACATCTTACAGAAAAATCAAACGAACTTTTTGGCCAACCCAATATCTGTACACATTTTAAGAGCATCTAAGCATTTTTTTGCATTTTTATTTTTCACAGTCCAATCTTTAAAAAATATGTTAATGAATGTTTCACAATGTCCATTTCAGTGTTCCTGTATTATTTCCTTTTATCTTTTTTTTTTCTGGTTTCCTTCTACTTATCTTCTATGGCAAAATTGTCTTGTGCCAATTAGTCCTAAGACTGAATCCCCTGCAGCAAAGAAATTTAGGGTGAGAATACGGGACCCACGACTATCGCCTGTCCCTTTCTTTTCTCCAGCAGGTCGGGTTTGGCCAAAGGCTTCCTCCATGAAGCCATAACTGATGGGCACATTCTTTCTTGTTTGTCCTCACCATTAAGGGGGGTAACTCCTTTCTCACGAGCCTCATGCCTCTGGGGGTTCTCCACGGTGGCCTCTGTTCTGGTTACTGATCTTTCTAGGAAATTCAGAAATTTATAAATGTAATCTGGATATTTGGAGTAGAAAAGAGCTGTGTGTGCTGAGAAGGTCAAATATTTTGGGGAACTGGAACTACAGGGAGACAACAGAATGGAGAACATGTGGTTTTCAGTCTCCTGACACTGTTCCTGACCCAGCTGGTCTCTGGCATGAAGAAAGTCAATTCACTCCTGGGCTACACAATAAATGAATTTCAATTAATTTATGCTAACTTGTTTTTGTGCTAGGCTGAGGTCAAGAAAGGAAATTCTAAAGAAGATCTTGACTTGAGCTCAGGAGCAAAGTACACTCACATCCACATGCGGCATTATTTTGGAACAGGCTTCCTGGGTGGCTCAATGGTAAAGAATCTGCCTTCTAATGCAGGACCCGTGTGAAACAGAGCCTAGGGTTGGATCCCTGAGTCAGGAAGATCCCCTTCAGGAGAAAATGAAACGCAGTCCACTATTCTTGCCTGGAGAATCCCACGGACAGAGGAGCCTGGCAAGCCACAGTCCATGTGGTCACAAAGACTCAGACACGCCTGAGCACACATGCACATTAGCAAAGCAGATGCTAGAGGGAAGACCACTTTCCTCCTATGATGGACTGAATGTCTGTATCCCCCGCTTCACATGTTGAAGGCCTATAAACCACGGTGTGTGTACCTGGAGATGGGGCTTCTAAGGAACTGGTTAGAGCTGACTGAAGTCCTAAGGGTGGGGCCCTGGCCCGAGAGGATAAGTGTCCTTGTAAGGCCAGAGAGTCCACTCTCTTTCCTTCTCTGCACAGTCCTGAGGAAAGGCCACAGGGACACACAGTAAGGGGGCTGCCCTGTGCAGATCGAGGAGAGTTCTCACCAGAAACCAACCATGCTGGCATCCTGAGCTCACACTTCCAGCCTTCAGAGTGGGGAGAAAATAAATTTTTATTGTTTAACTCCCAGCCCATGGCATTTTGTCCAGCAGCGCCAGCCGAGGAACACACCTATCTATGTTTACATCATTGATTCTGAAGGCCTCAGTGGCCTCAGCTGTGCATTAAGGCCCTGGGTGAACCTGTGGCATTTGGGAAGGTGGGTCCATGAACCCACAGCTGAAATAAGTGGTTCTGGACAAGTGTTCTCTCACTGTGGATGCCTGATCCTTCCTTAGCCCTGGGGTCTGCCAGTCATCCACCCAGGCATGGACTCCACTCCTCCATTCAGACACAATTCAACTTGGCTCCTGCATCCTTCATTAACTCACCAGCTTCTTTCGTGTACCAGAGAGGCCCCTGTTTTTTCCCTTTAAACTTTTCACATGATCTCTTTCTTACTTCTTTTTTTTTTAAACCAATTTGGAAGAACCTGATATGGTAATTCCATCTGAATATTAACTGTACAGCACACCCTTTTATTATGATGAATCTTACAGGAGTGCACACTACTCCAAGAGACAAAAGCTGGTGCTGGGGGGCTGGCCTGGTGGCCCCCCACACAGGGCTTCGTCTCCCTACTGTGCACCTCCCAGAGAAGCTTCCAGTATGACCCTATTCTGCAGACCTACTGTGCATGACCTTCCCTCTGACCTTGCTACCAACAAAACATTGTCACTTGCCACCTTCTGCTACAAGGATTAGGTCACTGGTCACTGCAGTCGCTGACCTTCAAAACACCCTCAAAGAGGTTCAGGGCACAGATCAGGAATGAGGCCCTCTGTGCTCTGAGAAAACTGCCAAAGCAGGCCTTCAGATAGATATTCTCAGGAGAAGATTAGAAAATCTTTTCAATCTTCTCAATTTTTTGCATCTTCTCATGTCTAGAAAAGCACTAGAATTGCTAATGGGGACATCTGCTCTTCATGACTAACAGAACATTTTGCCAAATCATGTGCTGGATTGCATGTATCCCCCTTTCACCAAAGTCACACATATACTGACCTCCTGCCTGTCCTCTTCGAAGCAGTTCCTTAGCGCTACTAAGAGGCTGTCTCCTAGGCCATGCATGCTAAGTGCTTAGTCATGTCCAACTCTGTGACCCCATGGACTGTAGCCCACCAGGCTCCTCTGTCCATGGGATTCTTTCAGCAAGAATACTGGAGTGGGTAGTCATTTCCTCCTCCAGGGGATCTTCCTGACCCAGGGATCAAACCTGTGTCTCTTATGTCTCCTACGTTGGTGGGTGGATTCTTTACCCCTAGCACCACCTAGGAATCCCAAAATAGTTCTCATTTTGCTCGAATAAAACTTAACACTCTCAAGTTGTGCGTATTTTTTTTCAGTCAATATCACCTACCCAGACTAAATCAAAAATCTCTTCTCTGAGCTCTGTCCTGATGGGGCCTGGCCATATCTGGTTTGGCTCTGTATAATTCACTTTTAGGATCTAACAAATCCTCCACACACCAGCAGAGTGGAGGTGATCACACAGTCACTGCTTAGAACCAACCTCAGCATTTCAGGCTGACTTCTCAGGGCAACCAGCTTCCCATTCAGGCCTCTTTACCCTGAGAGATTCCTGCAGGGGCGCCCTGTGTTCTGATGGTGTTTAAAACTGCACTCTGACCCAGGTGCATCCTGCAATCACACCTTGAAGCTTTCCCATTTTCTCTAAGTTTCCTCCAAGATTTAGCCCAGGTGCCACCTCCTCCAGAAGACTCGAGACTCAGCCTCTGGGGGTGTCCTGCTCCTCTCTACCTGTCACAACTGTAGGGCATTAGGGCAGAGATCTCTCATCCCCTCACTTGGGGCTTTGACGGGTAACACTGTGATTTGGGTCTTGGGATGTCTGATGCCAAGCAAGTGAAGACAATGCTCCCCCTTTAACAAATGCTTGCTAAATGAGTCAAGGAATGAACACATTGAAATCTGCATACAAATCACTATTTTATGTCAATAGCAGAGAACAACTGAATGGTACATCAAGCCTGGAGTCCCTACTGAACCCTCAAGGGAGAATCAAGTAAGATGGAAGAACATCTTATGGAAGAACAAGGGAGCAAGGGAGGTTAATGAGTAGGGGGCAAACAGAATGGGAGCGATGCTAATTAAAAAATAGGTGCATAACAGCTTCCAGTTACAAAATTTCCCTTTTGATCTTCCAGTATGGCATGACTTTTTTGCCCATTTGATTTCTGAAACATGTTGGGAAAATTACAGCATAAGCCATTACACCAATGTTAACCAAGGCTTTAGAATAGAACTGCACTGGACCACAAATGTGGTAACTAAACACGTATTTGAATACAAAATGACACAGTAGAGACAGACAATTCACGAACAACCTTGACAAAAATAAAGCAAAGCCAATGATGTACTTTCTAACAATTCCTTTAGTAGGAAGGTTCTAAAAGGTGGGCACAAAAGCAGTTTAACAAGGTAGGCATCCTGCATGAAGACACGCTGAGGCTGATTTTATACATTCGCTTTTGATTACTATTAATATCATTGTAGTCGGCTAAACTTTGTCAGGGAACAAGATTTCTTCTTCTGCTGCTGTGTTTTATTCCAGTGGGCATTGTGTGAGATCAGACTTCCCTGGGTTTTGGCTTCCAGTACATTCCAGGAAGTCATCGTTCCTTAGTTGTGGGGTAGTGGGGTTCAATCAGGGTGGAGTTAGGCTGTTTTGTCACTTTGATCCTGGTACCAGCCAAAGCAAAGCACCTGTCCGGGCATTGTTGGCATGGCCTGCACGCTCTGCAGGTGGCAGGCTTTATCCGTTTGGAGTATCTGAAAGGGGCTAGGCAGGGGTGCACTCAGGAGGCTGGCATATTCGAATTTTAACGCTAGCCTGACCAAGATACAGGGAGTACCCTATAAACGGACCTTCAAGCTGTGAACTTTTAAACGTGCCTTCACTTGTCCAGTCGTGTCAGGCGTGAGTGACATTGCAGCCGGCCCTGCATCTCCTATTGCTGACGACCCGTCAGCTCTACCATCTCCCACCTCCTCTCGATCCTCCAGTCAGTAAATCTTCTTGCCTGTTCACTTGATGCCGCCCCTGTCCGCCAGTTGTTACAGTGCACTAGTGCACTTTCCAAGGTACTGTACTGTAACAGTCAATGTTTTCTTTATTTTCTGTGTTTGTTTTTACTGTATTATTTGTGTGAAAAGTATTATAAACCTATCACAGTACAGTACTATATAGCTGACTGTGTTAGTTGAACACCTGGGCTAACTTAGACGGACTTAAACAAAAGTGGACTTACGAAGGTGCTCTCAGAACAGAGCTCATTCGAAGGTAGGAGACTAACTGTACTTTATTGTATATGTACACAAACACACATATACACATCACATGCACACATACCCGCACTCATGTGATTCTTTCTTAAGTCCTGTAAATAATTTGCTATGAACACTTAAAAGTCACAGTCTAGAAGAGGCATGCCTTTTTCAAAGCTTTAATTTTGGGGACAGAATTCTAGGTGAAAAATCATTTACACTTCCCAGGAGTCAACTTTCATGATAAAAATTCAATTGGTTTCCGTAAGGATGAAAACATGTGCATAAAAGCTCTTCATTTGGATCTACTCAGGTTTTCACCACAATTTAACCCAACAAAACTTTATGGAGCATCTAATGAGTAGCAGGCTGCTTCCTGAGCTGCAAAACTGCCCTCCATGACTTTAGCCATGGAGAGCTCGAAGGCCAGTGAAGGTAATAATCACTCTGTCCAGGCCATGGAAGTCCCCACCTTCTTTAAATCCTTTATCCCACATTCCTGGACCATTTAAAACTACAACACCAATTCTTGGCTTCCTAGACTGAACAATTGTGCCCTCTAAAGACTCAGTCTTCTCCCCACTCCCTCCCTGAATTCAGATTCTAACACACAAGGCACTCTTTCAGCATTTAGAACACAGGTGCCTCCACACACTCTGCTTTTGGGAGGCAGGGGAGGTAAAGGCATTTTGAATGGATAGTGTCACACAATAACAACTTTATGATTTTTCCATGTGGCATCTCTATTGATCTTTAAAAAATATCCTTACTGAACACATTAAGCTATAACTTTTCTCTCTCTAATAACCTATCATATTGCTCATCAGTAATTTACTTGGGGAGGATTTATTAGGCAGGAATCAAACATTTTTTGAGATGAAATACAATGAACAAAAGCTATTATTAAGAATGATTGAGGTGAAAAGAATGAACTGTCTTAGAAACCTTGGCTTTGTCATGATAAGTATGACAGAGTTTGGGGTGAAATTTTTTTGGAAAACATATCATTATTTCCAAATAACAGGGTTGAAATAAGAGATGAAGGATAATTGAAGATGAAAAAGTACTCACTTTTGTGCATTGATTCCATCAATTGCTTGAATCATCCTTTCATTTAATTCCTCTTCAAATCTTTTCTTTTGTGACTTGGTTCTGTATGATGGAAGAAATATTTTGGGTAAGAGTATTACTAAACAGTAAACTTGTGGTCCTATGATAGCAAAATCTCTGTCTGATTCTGTTAATTGAATTTTTTGAAAAAGGCAATTATAGTCTATATGCAGCCTTTTGTCTATTAAGATATAGTCACTTTGTGGATTGAATGAGTTTTTAGCACCGTAAAATGTTCCTTTACCACTGAATGAAATTAAAAAGCAACACTGAAAGATATGTACTTTGTGTTTGAGATAAAAGAGGTTTCTGTCCTATGAGATGCACTAGCCCTTGAATTGTTGCCTTTATAAACTTTATTTTTTGATAGAACATACTGGCTTTGGAAATTCCCTTGCAAAAATTTGGACTGGGACAAAATAATCATTCCTGTTTCATGTTTTCCTTGGTCAGTTTGCAAGAATTTGCAGAACTGTAGTCTTCTTTGAGACGTGTCAAAGCTTTTTTGTCTGTAATTAAATATTGCTCAGTTTTTGAGAGTGCTGTTCACAGAAAACCCCTCTTACACTTGCAGACTATTCACTTGATCTCAAACTGAATAATCTTGGGCCATAATATAAGATGCTTTGCATTTTATTGTGCCAAGACAAGAATGCGTTCTCCAAGGTTAATCTGATAATTATCATGAGAATGATGTAAAATAAAAAATGAAAATAATATCTGTTTTTAAAAGTGAAACATCTACTGCAGAGTATAAGCCCATCTGGCCCTTCAAAAACTGGCTTGAGCCAACCTGCATCTGAATCCAGGTGCCCACAAGTCACCTAGCCCCATGGGAGTGAGCACAAGGCTTCCCTGTGTTGTATTTGGTTAAGTTACTCACTGAACAGACCTTCTACTCTGGCATAAAATAATACTCTTCCAATTTTAGAACCGCCTCTCTACATAGATGAAAACAGTATTAAATGTGCAATGTCATATTTATCTGTAATCAAATCTGGTGGAATTATCATTAATGAGACAGATGGGTAATACAATTATTACATCACTGTTGGTGAATTCCCACCTTCAAGTCCTGCCTTCTTTAAACAGGTCAAGGTTAGGTTTGGTCCAAAAACAGAACAATGTTAAGTGATCCACCTGTCAACACCAAGCCAATGGAATTCAGAGGCTTTAGCAAGCCAAATTCCAAGCTAAACTGGGAGGCAAATTCATTTTGATCTTTCTTTTAGAAAAAAGCCAGGCATCTTAGCAGTCACCGGGGATGGCTTATTTTCATTTGTGACTAAGGAGCTCCCTCTATTTTCTTTTTATCAGCCCTGTGCCTAGACTTGAGATTCTTGACTTCAACTTGGTCAAAAAGTTGAAATCTCTCTTTCACAAAGCGTCACCAAGTCTAAGAAGGAACAGTGTAGGTGCTTCGAAGCTCACAGGAAAATTGAGCCCTTCACTCATATGTCTGGGGGCTTAACAGTGGCACTGTCTTTGTGAATCTGTTTTAGGATTAGCTTAGATGATGCCAGGCTTCCCTGGTAGCTCAGCTGGTAAAGAATCCACTTGCAATGCAGGAGAACCTGGTTTGATTCCTGGGTTGGGAAGATCCGCTGGAGAAGGGAGAGGCTACCCACTTCACTATTCTTGGGCTTCCCTGGTAGCTCAGCTTGGTGAAGAATCTGCCTGCAATGTGGAAGAACTCGGTTCGATCCCTGGGTCAGGAAGATCCGCTGGAAAAGGGAGAGGCTAACCACTTCAGTATTCTTGGGCTTCCCTGGTAGCTCAGCTTGGTGAAGAATCTGCCTGCAATGCAGGAGAACCTGGTTCGATTCCTGGATTGGGAAGATCCGCTGGAGAAGGGAGAGGTTACCCACTTCAGTATTCTTGGGCTTCCCTGGTAGCTCAGCTTGGTGAAGAATCTGCCTGCAGTGCGGGAGACCTGGGTTCAATCCCTGGGTCGGGAAGATCCCCTGGAGATGGGAAAGGCTGTCCACTCCAGTATTCTGGCCTGGAGAATTCCATGGACTGTGATGCCAGGTGGTAAAGAACCTGCCTGCCAGTGTAGAAGACATAAGAGATGCGGGTTTGGTCCCTGGGTCGGGAAGATCCCCTGGAGGAGGGCATGGCAACCCACTCCAGTGTTCTTGCCTGGAGAATCCCACGCACAGAGGAGCCTGGCAGGCTCAGTCTAGAGGGCCAAAAAGAGTTGGACACGACAGAAGCGACTTAGCACACAACAGATGATGCCTGCGTGGTGCTCAACCCAGTTCATATGGCACATGGAGTAGCCAATAAATGCCTGTTATTATGCATCCTCTGTATTCACTGATTTTCTGGACGACAGTTCTTAACATATAAACAGCTTACTGGTCTCCGTAGCTTTGTGACCTCTGCTGAGAGGCTGTGCTTGGGGCTGATCATCTATCTCTAAGGAATTCTTAATTCACCAACCAGGGCCTTGCTCCTCAGGCTGTCAGCGTTTCAGCATTTCTGATCTTCCTGCCTCTGGGCTCCCGTTGGCTTCCCGGGGACTCACAGACCCCGGCTCTATCCTCAAGCCCCCTTTCCATTTTCTCTCTCTTAAGCTCCTCCCCTAACCTGCCCCACCCACAGGCTGGGCTACTCTACCTAAGGAGGTGCAGTTCCTGTTGAACCTCAGATGATGTTTTACTGCCCTGGGAGGCCCCCTCACCACCGGGCTGGGGGCTCAGAGAGGTTTGATGACCTTGGCTGTGTTACAAAGCCAGGATGTGCTAGGGAAGTCCGGGCTGGCTTGAAAGACAGGCTCTCCCTGTGAGGCTTGGGGCCACCAAAGACCAACCACCACAGAGGAAAGTGGAGGAGATACGGAGGAGGCTCCCAGGAGGGCAGGCAGGACCGGAGAGCATTTAGGAACACAGGCTTCAGTGTCCTAGAGCCTGGGCATAAACCACGGGCGTGCCTCCCCCGGCCACGCGGCTCTGGTCCTCTTCTGACCTGGCACCTCCGTTTCTTTCTTCCTAAATGGATAATGGCTGTAGCATCCACCCTGGAGCAACGCTGTAGGCATGAAATTAGATTTCCCATAGCCCTGGTGCAGATAAAAATGACAGCTTACGATCACTGTCTTTCAGACAGCACTCATCCCAAAAGACACTGCCCATGGTGTACTTGCCGCAGGAGCCTTTCTCACTGTAATTTCAGTAAATCAACTCTTGAAGGAGACTGCGGGGAGGAGCAGAGGGATAAGAGGCTGGATCACGTACAGGAAGCCCTTTATATATGAACCTTCACGTAGTGAACTTTCAAAGACGCACACATTATGTGCCAGTTGCTGTACTATACCACCGCACTTTTCAACGCACTGTATTAGAAGGGTAAAAATGCTTTCTTTATCCTTTGTGTTTGCTTTCTGTGTACATATCATCTGTGTGAGAAGTATTATAAACTTATCACAGTACACTAGTATAGAGCCAATTGTGTTAGTTGGGTACCTAGGCTAACTTTGTTGGACATTTGAACAAAACTGGACTTACGAACGTGCTCTCAGAAGAGAACTCATTCATATGTAGGGGACCTACTGTACAAAGTGGAAAGATGTTTGTGAAATTCCATAGACAGCTGTTTGCAGATGCGCTCATTTCTTACTGGCTTGAACAGCTAGGCCTTCTAAAGAGACGTTACGGGGTCCAAAACACTTCTTAAAGTAGCTTAAGCTTTCTTTAATTGGGCATTTGCCACCAAAAACATAATACTTCAAAAGCCCAAGAACTCCATTTTCCATATAACATAGGGCTCTAAGTGTGATAGGTCAATGTTAAAATTTCAAGTTTTACACAAAATACAAATTGGAGCTCATGACAACAAAGATAAAGTCACGCAGAGGGATTCGGGAGAGAGTGCACTAAAGATCTGGCAGCTCATGATCTAATTATTTATGTTCATTTTCCATTGCATTTTATACAGGAATAAACTCATCTCTTAAGCGGGGAAAGAACAGTTTTAAGTTTGGGGCCGTTCATTAACTATCCTAGCATTAGTCACTTAGTCGTGTCTGACTCTCTGCAACCCCATGGACTGTAGCCCACCAGTCTTTTGTCCAGGGGATTCTCCAGGCAAGAATCCTGGAGTGGGCTGTCATTTCCTTCTCCAGGGGATCTTCCTGACCCAGGGATTGAACCTGGGTCTCCGGCATTGCAGGTAGATTCTTTACCATCTGAGCCACCAGGGAAGTCCCCAAATTATCCTGACATCTTCAAGAAAAAGCACTTAATTCCCAAACTAAAGGAAGGTTCTGAGCCCCAAAGCTAGAGGAACACAGACAAGGGAAAGGAGTAATGTCTGAGACCTTGTGGAGGATGACAGTGGGCCCTTGGCCACTTGTGGAGGCATTTTTTCTTTGTTTGAGCAGGATGGGTTGCACTTCTTTTCACTATTGAAAGGCTGGACTTATCTTGCTTTTATCTCTAGGATTCAACCTCAAAAATATAACTTTAACATACTCATTTTAAGAAAGTTCAGTTCTTTACTCCAGATTAATATGAAGAATGGTTTTTAAGAATACAATTTGAAGTTCTAAAGAGTTTACTAGGCAGTGTTTTCCCTCTTTTAATTCTAAAAAGAAAAGATATCAATAATCTTATTTTTAGAAGCTGAATGCAACTTGATAGGGCTTTTCACAAGCAGCTACTCTTTTTTTAGAAGAAGTATCCTTCAGAATTATTATAGTTGATGAAAATTACTTTTAGGAATAAATAAAGAACAGTTAAGCCTTTAGGAAATTAGAAAATGGAGTGTATACCATACCTTAAGGTGCGATTTTGAAAATTATGCTGACCCATTGGTACATCCTATTAAAGAAAAAAAGATTATTAGTTGCTAAAAACATACATTAAGAATTTTGAACAGATAATGATGTATATTTATTCTTTTACCATGGTAAATATCATTTGGGTAATAAGCAGCTACTCATGTGGTGAAAAAGTGCTTAATTATAAGTGTGAAACAAGATTAAAACTTCAGTTTATATTTAGAATGTTGGTATAACCTATGAACTCTGGATATTGGCAGTGTCAGGATTGCTGTCTGGATTTTCAAAATTCCCATCCTGATATTTGCAGATATTATTTACAACAATGCTTGCAGAGGACTGTTATTAAAGTTACTGTAGACAGCCTAAACCATGTAGAACTGTAGTTCTAATGTGAATCGAAAATTTAGAAGATGCTTTAAAACATAAACATAATCACAAAATTTATAGACAATCCTTATCAGTGAACCGCACTGTTAAGAAATGAGATCATTGATTAAGTATGTGAAACAGAATCACTGATGAAAAAGAAGAAATGTACATGAGTGCTGGTATAACAGCTCCTGAGAAAGGCCAGTGAGAGGGAGACACTGAGCCCATTGCTAAGTGTTCAATAACAGACTTAAAAAACCACAAGACTCACTTGTATATCGTTGTAGTAGAAATTAAAATAAAAGTTAGAACAAGGAAGCTCCAGAGAAACTTTTCTTCATTGCTTTAAGCTCCAAGGTTAGATAAGGAAATGTATTTAGCCTAGGGAAAGGTAAGGCTTAAAAATGATAACTGAACTCCACATTTTATTATATAAAGTACTAATAAAATAATGCATTATTCACCAGCTCCATCAATGTTAAATCAAGAGTCAATAAAGTTCTGCATAGGGGATTAGATAAAAGAAATAACTTTTGGTAATGACAGCTGTTCAATCCTGGAATGTACGAATAAGAATGACAAAGGGATCCTTCTGAAAGTAAGCAGCACAGTCCTATGGGCTCCAAGTGCTAACCAGAACCTCAGATGTCTTCTGTCACTGCCAAGGAACTCAGTCCCAAGACTCTGCCTGTGACAGAGTGGCTGGCAAGGCCTGCTGGTCAAGAAAACAGAGTCTGTTCCAGAGATCCTCTGTTTTTTATACACTTTCTACAATTTTCTGAAGCTCAAAGCCCTAGCCAGTTATAGCTCTCTCAAAGGAGGCATCTTCACTAACACATAACACATAACAACAGATGATGTTGAGGTTGGAGCCAGGTTGAAATCTTCCCTTGGGTGCCTTGCTAAGATAGTAAGGGAGAGGGTTGCTCTTGAGTCCTGAGACAAAAGAGACTGATAAGAAATTAGCAACCACAACAACATCAATAACACCACCCAGAAAGTAAGGCCTTATTTTTACAGATACACAGATGAAGTAGCACAGAAAACACTGCTTTAGTATTTACATATGATTCTTATTTCCTGAAAACCAACAAAGCAACCAGCCAACCAACCAATCAGCCAGTCAACCAACCAACCAGCCAGTCAACCAATCAACCAGCTAGTCAACCAACCAACCAGCCAACCAGCCAGTCAACCAACCAACCAACCAGTCAATCAACCAGCCAACCAACCAGAAAGTCAACCAACCAACCAGCCAACTAGCCAGTCAACCAACCAGTCAACCAGCTAACCAACCAATGAACCAACTAGCCAACCAACTAGCCAGTCAATCAGACAACCAACTAACGAATCAACCAACCAACCAATCAGTCAACCAGCCAGTCAACCAATCAACCAGCCAACTAGCCAGTCAAGCAACCAGCCAACCAACCAGCCAGCCAGCCAACCAATCAACCAACCAACCAGTCAACCAACTAACCAACCAACCAACCAGCCAACAAATGAATCAGTCAACCAACCAACCAGTCAGCCAACCAACTGACCAATCAACCAGCCAGTCAACCAATCAATTTGGTTTATAACAAATGTCAATCTGAGATAAAGTTGTTAGCCATTAGCACTAATGATAAATTTAGTGTTGAGGTAAAATTATCTGATTCTTTTCATAAGAAGGATAGAAGCATTGACTTTCCCTGACAATTAGATCCTAGGTCTTAGCATGCTTTTCCTCTAACAGGTCTAGTTGCTGGGAGGCCCCCAGTGGCTCTAGTCCCTGCTTCTTAAGTATCTTCTCTTCTTGTGACCTCATCCAGATCCATAGCTTCAAATATCACCTAAAATCTGATGCCTCTCACATCCACATCTCCTACCAGGACATCTACCCAGAGCTCCAGGAGCACACACCCAACTGCCATCTTCCTAAATGAACTTTGGTGTCTAAAAGGCATATTGATTTGAAGGTGCCCACTAGCAAAGTCTTGATTTTCCTACCCCAAATTCTCTGACTTTGCTCCAAGTATTTGTCAGTTCAGTTAATGGGATCATCATTCTTCCAGGTGCAGAACCGAAACATGTGGATTTGTCTTTGAACTTCCTTTCCACAGATATCGACTCCATCACCAAGTGTTACTTGTTCCACTTTCAAATTATACCCTGAATGTGTTTCTCACTGTCCTCACTGCTAAAATCTCAGCAGACGAGGGCACCATCCTGTCTTGGAGCCCTGCACTCTTGGTCCATCATCCAGTGTTATTACACGATGCTCTTCCTTGCTTCTGACCCTCTAGCGACTTCCCACTACAATCAGAATAAATTATACATGATTACTTGGAGCCTCTCACTCTAATGACCTCCCCAGGCTTACTGTTGATGATCTGACAGTCGCGCAGTCTCTCCTCTGCCCTCAAAGACACTGATTCATTTCCATTTCAGGGCCGCTGGATTTGTCCTTTTGCCCTCTACTCTTCCCACTGACCCCTCCCCTTCTTGGAGACTCCCCCTAGCCACCCCACCCAGAGGAGCCATGCCGTTCACTCCCCAAGACATTCCTTCCTTTTCTTTTCATCAAGGCCCTCGGCAGTACCTGGAGTCATCTCATTTGTTTATTTGAGTCCTACTTAGGGTCTCTCTCTTCCAGATACAATAGACTCCTCTAAGACTTGCCCTGGAGGTCTCCCTGTTGACTGCGTGAAAGGTCACGATGTTCTATCAGATACTTTATTTTTTAGTTGGAAAAGAACAAAGGAAGTTGAGAGAAGAGATATAGCTAAGACAAAACAGGAACGCTGACCGCTGCGTGTTGGGCTTGTGCATGTTACTGTGACAGGCCTTGTGAGCACAGGAAGTTTGGAAATGTTCACTTTTACCCGACCTGACAGCCCCATGTGTTTTTTTACTTATCAGCTAATAAAAATTATGGAACATCCCTTTTTTTTTTTTAACCTCAACCACATCCCTAACAGTGAATACCATCCTGCACGAAATTATACTCAGAGACTGTTTTAATATCTAAATATGCCATTGGGACTATTCTAAGTGATTCACTGTATTTCCTTTCTCTCCTCTCCTGAGTTTTGTATTCTTCATCTGCATTTCAGCCATCTTACCGGCCCCTGTGGTCCGGAGTGGCGGGACTTCATTCCCCATTAGAAGTTGGGATGACCTCCATAAGGGACGCCAACAATAGAATGCACTTGGCTTCCGACACAGCCTGAACCTCTGGGGGATGAGGATAGGGTTAATGATGCTGCTGCTCAAACCCCAAGGACGTCAGGCCCTCATTCGGTTCTCTTATGAAGATGCTCAAGCCTTCCACTTCGTGGGAGCCAAAGCAAATTACAAAGCTGGACTGAAAAAGAGTTCAGGGGTAGCAGTTGCTACTGCCCGTTGTCAGTAACCGTCTTCGATAAAAAAGTGACCACGCAAAGTCCCCCTCGGTTAAAACCGTAAGCAACTGACGCTCATGATAACCGGAGAGCTGTTTGGCGGGGGCCTGTCTCGGGAGTCAGAGACACGGCCTCCTTCGTTACGGAGCCAAGCGGTTCTGGCAGGACACGCCTTCCGTCTCGGGGAGCGAGCGTGTGCCGGGCGCGGGCGCCGCCTGGCGCCCGGCGCGGGGAGGGCGTACCGTGGTGCTGATCTTGCCGTTCTCGGTGGTCATGCTGTCTCTGTGGTGCAGGTGTGCGAAGGGCTTGGCCGCCCCCCAGGACTCCAGGTACCGGGTCATGCGGACCGAAGCCCTCATCTTCGCTCCGTCAAGCGTGTGTCGAGGTCTGAAGAGGTGCTGAGGGCTCCGCCGCTCTCCCTTGGGGCGAGAAACGCAGCATCACACCTGGAGGCCCGCAGGCGCGCCTCCGCCCTCCAGCCCGCCCAGAGCCTCCCGCGCGCGAGCGGATTCCTCTGCCAGCACCGCCTTCACCCTGCGGGCTCCTGCCGCCGGTCCTGCAGGGTCGCGGCCACGCCCCAGAGGAGCCGAGTGAGCCTTTTTCAGACAACAAAACCTACCTGTGCTTGGAACTTCGGAAAAAACAACAGCCATTGGAAGGGACGTTTTCATAACGCTGACTCTTAGACAGAATATGCTGATCTGTTTTCATGTTTTAATGGTTTTGTTTTTCTCCTAAAATGATGGCTGTAGGGATTGGGGCTGTTTTTGGATGCGAAATGGCCTCGAATATTGGTGTTTTGGTGTTCTTTGCCTGAACAGTGTTCTCTGGACACGTTTTCTGAACCTTTCCCCGACACTCCCCCCCACCCCGCCACCCGATCACCCTATAGTTCCTCCTGCTTATCACATATCTGTCTCCAGGTCAACTGTCTAGTGAGTTGAAAGTTTGTTCCCAAAGGTGAACCTGGGGATTTTAGGGAGGCTCTTGTGAGTAAACACTCATAAACTTGACTTCATTGATTTTGCGATACTTGTTTGGACAATTCAGAGGAGTTTCTTGCTGCTACCTGCATTAACCAGCCAGTGATTTGAAGGAAGTTACATAAACCATCTGAGACTCAGTTTCTTAATCTGTAAACAGCAATAGTATCCATTTGGCAGGAATTTGGGAAGGGGTAAAAGAGATGAGAGCTCTTTTGATGAGCCCCCTGCTCTGGCCCGACATGTGGTGGGAAGAGAGTAAGAGACAGTGGCTGTCTGCACGTGAAGGATGGTTTTTATCATGTCAAAGTTTACATGCCTTCACATAACATGCTCAACCCAGTGTTTATATGACATTTAGTTGTTAATCTTTCCGTAATTTCTTCTTTTTTTCTTATATCTTCATCCACTTAATCTCATTAAGATTTTTATCAGTTGAAGTCCTGTGCAAACTTTTTGTCATTTAATTTTCTAACTGCCAGGAAGGGCCCATCATGGACTAACACAGTGGTACCCAACCTTTTTGGCACCAGGGACCTATCTGTTAGGTGCTTAGTTGTGTCTGACACTCTGTGACCCCATGGACTGTAGCCCGCCAGACTCCTATGTCCATGGAATTCTCCAGGCAAGAATAATGGAGTGGGTTGCTATGCCCTTCCCCAGGGACCTATTTAGTGGAAGACGACTTTTACATGGACTGGCAGGGGGGGATGGTTTCAGGGTGATCAAATGGATTACATTTATGGTGCATGTTATTTCTAATCTAATGTTCTTGCTGATCTAACAGGAGGTACCAGTCCATGGCCCAGAGGTTCACACCCATGGACTAACGTATACATTGGTAAGCACTGACTAACTAACCTCTACAGTCTTATGATGCAGACAATACCCTTGTCATATAAACAAGCAGTTCATTTCAACTGCTTCTTTCATAAATATTTGAAATCATTTTCACAAAACACAGGCATTTAAAATAGTTTTAGAGGCAAAGACTAGCAAAGAATTATACTGGTACTTGACTAAAAGGGATGGGATGGAGAGGGAGGTGGGAGGGGGGATCAGGATGGGGAACACATGTAAATCCATGGCTGACTCATGTCAATGTATGGCAAAAACCACTACAATATTGTAAAGTAATTAGCCTCCAACTAATAAAAATAAATGAAAAATAAAGGAAAAGAAAAAAAACTTCCCATATCATTTGCCCTCTTCACTTTTAATCACAGAAGTCATGGGCTAATTATAGACTCTTTATGATACTGACCTTGGGGTTGATTACAAAGTAAGTTTTCACTAAGTGCTGCTTTAAATACGGGTCTCTGATGTCACCATCACCTTCTTCCACTTTGTAAGCTCCATTCAAGTGTTGCAGGGTAACAGAAGAAATGTGAACACGTCTGAAATTCCATTTGAAAAACCACAATCAATATACAGAAGAAGGAATACGCACGATTTTTTATTTATTTGGGACTTCAGAAAGAATTCCTTCTGCCCAGGGTGAAGGAAAGGCTATAGGTTCGTAGTCTGTTCCCCACAGCTTTGGGAATATGCTCCAATATCAAGAGTTGCAAATATTTGGAGCCTCTCTGCACTCAAGAGAAACCTGCATGGTGAATTATAGCACATAAAACGTGATCATACCAAATCTGGAGGTATGAGGATAGTTTTCTGAAATGCACAGCAAAGTCATTTGAGAACACGTGCCAATATGTATGGGCTTTCCCTAGTAGCTCAGTCAGTAAAGAATCTGCCTGCGGTGCAGGAGACCCGGGTTTGATCCCTGGGTTGGGAAGATGCCCTGGAGAAGGAAATGGCAACCCACTCCAGTATCCTTGCCTGGAAAATCTCATGGACAGAGGAGCCTGGTGGGCTGCAGTCCATGGGGTCACAAAGTATGGGCTTTCCTCCTCAATGCCTGTCCTCATACTTCTCCAAATTACAGCACCTGCAAAGCTTTTCTTGTCATTTGTCCAGAGGGTACCATTTGCTTATTTTAATAGGACTGATTTCAGAGGTCACCAATAATAGAGAAAGGCCACATATCTCTAGTGCATTATAAGCCATCTTTAGCTTAGGTTGTTATTCATAAATATGCAAATCAGTCAAAGTCTGTAACTCAGGGTCTGACATCCAGTCTCTAACCAGGGGTCCCAGGAGTGGTGGAATTGGGACTTGAGAGCTCATGTCCATCTGGTTAACAGACGAGGTCACCGAGTAACATGGTACTAACCAGGCAACAGAAGTCACCGAGCGCTGGGCAGTCAGCTCTCAGCCTGTGGACCCAGGACTCCCACCCCAGAGCCTGCTGGATGGGAGGACGCCCGCATCCCGCCTTACCCGGGGACCCCTCCGGCTTCCATGTGATTGGCCAGGGTGACGTCATGTGACCACACGTCGTACTGCCACTTCTGCAGCCCGATCACGCCGCAGAGGACGTTCCCAGAGTGCACCCCCACGCGCATGTTGATGTCCACTCCGGTGGCGTCCCTCACTTTCCTAGAGAGAAGGAAAGTCACATCACCCTCCAGGGCCAGTCTCTTCTTCTTGTCATTCCTGGCCAATGTTCTGGGCATTTTATTATTCAGAATGTCTCAGACTGTTGGAAATATGGTCATGAGTTCCTCCTGTGGTGGAAGATTGCTGCTCTGAGGCCAGAGAAAGGGTTTTTCTCTCCAGTTATTACCAGGCTAACCCATTAGCACCAAGCCAATGCTCCAGCCAGTAAAGCCTCAGGCTGGCTGGGGCCGTGATGCAACATTTTGGTTGTAGCTTCTACTTTTCCAACCAATATGTATCAAGCACCCATCATGCACTGACCCCCTCCTTGAAGTTTTCATACTGGACTCCTGAGACATTGCCTTGTACTGTTAGAAACAATCTTAGATGCCATTCGCAACTCTAATGCTTAGCATAGCATATGTCCCCAAGGAATAATTTCTACTGATGAAACAATAGGGCTTATTTGTGAGCTTAAATGACTTCAGCCTGAATAGGAATTAAAAAAGAAAATCACCACAAGCTGAATGCTTTTCCACCGTGCACATTTCTTTAACAAAAAAAGAGAAGAGAGTCCTTTTTAAGAAGCTTTAATAATGCATAAGGTATCATTAAAAAGAAATGAATTGTAAAAACCACTTAAAAAACAGATCCTGTCACCAATTCATTGAAAGAGACAAATGAAGAACTTCCTTTGATTAGGACAGACATACATACACGACCATGTGGAAAACAGATGGCTAGCTGGGAGCCGCTGCATAGCCCAGGGGCCCAGCTCCGTGCCCTGTGATGACCCCGAGGGGTGGGGTGGGGGGGAGGTCCCTGAGGGAGGGGACAGATATTCATATATACACATGTACACTAGCTGACTCACTTCACTGAGTAGCGGAAACGAATACAATGTTGTAAGGCAATTGTATTCCAATTGAAAAAAAAGAAAAAAGACAACTTCCTTTAAGGGAAAATGGCGATGCTTGGTGATGCCTATTTGTTTCTTCCAGTTAAGTATGTTTATCGATTACAATATAGTTGTAAAAGAAGAAAGTGTCCCTAGCAGGAAGGTGTCCCTAGTTTCATGGAGCGAACCACCCCAAGAGGAAATGTGGAGGGAAGTGATGACATTGATTGCAGCACAGTTACGAGGAAGGGCTCCCAGCTGTGGGATGCAGTAGAACCCGAAACATCTCAAAATGACACAGGTACGCGTGTGGGATGGCATCACCGACCCAATGGGCATGACTTTGAGCAAGCTCTGGGAGATGGTGCAGGGCAGGGAAGGCTGGTGTGCTGCCGTCCACGGGGGTTGCAAAGAGTCAGACACGACTGAGAGACTGAACAACAACAAACAACGATGAACGATGAACGTCAGGCTTAAATGATGAAGCAGAACCATCCGAGCATACTACGATAAAAAGAAAAGGGTCCATGATGTAAACATAAATGACCTCCTGTTTCCTTCCCTTCCCTTCCTATCATCCTTTTCTGTTTGCTGCTGCTGAGTCGCTCCAGTCGTGTCCGACTCTGTGGGACCCCACAGACGGCAGCCCACCAGGCTCCCCCGTCCCTGGGATTCTCCAGGCAAGAACACTGGAGTGGGCTGCCATTTCCTTCTCCAATGCATGGAAGTGAAAAGTGAAGGTGAAGTCGCTCAGTCGTGTCTGACTCTCAGCGACCCCACAGACGGTAGCCCACCAGGCTCCTCCGTCCATGGGATTCTCCAGGCAAGAGTACTGGAGTGGGCTGCCATTTCCTTCTCCAATGCATGGAAGTGAAAAGTGAAAGTGAAGTCGCTCAGTCGTGTCCAACTCTTAGCGACCCCATGGACTGCAGCCCACCAGGCTCCTCCGTCCATGGGATTTTCTAGGCAAGAGGACTAGAGTGGGGTGCCATGGCCTTCTTCATCTTTTCTGTTTATATTTTGTCATAAAAATGACAACCTATATCAAGTACTTTGCAAGTTGTCCACACCCTTCAGTCCTGCTCCCAGAAGGAGCATCTCCATGACACATCTCCTTGCCACTTTGCCTACATAAGCTCTGAGTGCAAATGCTGCCAGGGGGTGTCTGGTCCTCCCCTCTGGGCTTGCTCACACTGGTTCATCTCTGCTCCCCACCCTGCTGAGCGAGCCCCGCTTCCTGACAGTGTCCAGGAGTAATCATAAAGCCAGTCTGACAGCAGTGACTGGTTAGTAACTCGAGTCTTTGAATTAATCATCTTCATGGGCTTAATGTCCGTTTTAGAAGAATGAGCTGATCAAGGGTTCAGATGAACTGACTGACCAGAAAAATTTTATGCATGTAGATGCAGATGAAATCTATGTGATCTATAGACAAATGTTGAAATGATGGCTTAGAGTTTGCTAATAGTAGACTATCTTTCTAATTTAAGAGGAGCTTTAATCACTTACAAAATCAGGGTTCTGAGAGCACGCCTTGATTAAGAACAGTTTACATTTTCATGAAAGGAGGGAAAGACGTCTCTTTAAATGCCGGGAATATTCCAAAACTGCAGCCGAAGAACTTCTGCAGTGGTGACCTAGCTAACAGGGTATGAGGCTCTGAATAAATGTGGAGGTCCCTGCACCGAGGGAAAAACACGGACAGACATCCCTGGATCCGTGTTGCTGGTTCCCAGGAAAACTGGAGGTCATCTGGCAAAATTCCAAGCGCTAAGGGTATGCTTTCTCCTCACCAGCTTCAAAACCTGAAATTCCTGTATTCACTCTCATCTTATGGCTTAAGTATTGGGACTGGAAATGCTTGCTTGTGTATGTGAGAGAACAAAGAGTTTCCAAAATCTGCCGAGGTGTTCTCTCTTTCCCTGGGCTTCCCTGGTGGCCCAGATGGTAAAGAATCTGCCGGCAATGCAGGAGACCCGGGTTCGATCCCTGGAGAAGGGAATGGCTACCCACTCCAGGATTCTTGCCTGGAGAATTCCATGGACAGAGGAGCCTGGCGGGCTACAGTCCATGGGGTCACAAAGAGTCAGATATGACTGAGCAACTAAACAACAACAAGAGTATTTTGTTGAATCAAATGTGCTACTGATTCCCATAATTTCATCCTTCACAAAACCCATTGATAAAGCCTGTTTCCTCTCATGTTTGGTTTCAAACACTAAGGTGGCTTCCCGGGGTGGTTACAAATGTGAGAATATCTGTTAATTTTACATGGATTGAATGCACTTACATCTAGACTCATAATGTCCTGAATAGTTAATGACTTTTAGAATACAGTTGAAAAGCTTTTTTTTCCCTCATGCCTCCAAAAAGACAGATGCTTTATTTTGGGGGAGAAGAAGGGGGGACAGCTAATTCCCATACAAAGTATCTCAGGTGGCAAGCTGAGGCCACATTGCCCACCTCTCCCTTCTCGATTCTTCCTTCCTTTCCTCCCTATGTCTCTGCCCACCATTCCTGACTGCTGCCTAGTGGCCCGACACCGCTGAGCTAGTGAGTCTCGACACTCAGGTCTGCGGACTCTGCTGAGGCTGGAGGTTTTATCATTCTTCCCTGGAAAGCACTGGAAACCCACCGTCAAACCTCTCAGTCCATTTCAGCCCACGGCCAATACCACAGTGGGCTAAACACAGCGACAACTAACTTGATTTTTTGCTTTCTCACTTAAAGTCCCAGTTACTCCAATCCTGAGAAAAGGAATTCAAACATCAAGCACATAATTCCCATCCCATTTAGAACAAAAAGATGTGGAGGAGAAGAGAAAATCACTTGACCAAAAATAGGCAACCCCCTACCAAAAAACCCTCGAACTGAAATTTTTCAATCAAACAATCAACAAACAAGAGCTTTTATCATTTATAAGACTATCATGGCTTCTATGAAGGCAGTTATAAAGAAGTATGCATTACGGTACCAGCAGTGAAAATTCACTTTGTAGCTCACATTTTCACGCTACACTTGTCAGCTATAATGATACCATTATTCTTTGTAAGCAAATATTCTCTACAAATCTTACAATGAAAGAAACTACAGATACAAAGCAGAAAACTATTATGGATAAAAACTGAAACAAAATTCACAGAGCTGAGTGTATTTGATTAGATGGAGTTATTCTGGGCTGGATTTTCCTATTCATTGCAGTCTGGTGGTAAAAACTACTTTCTCTCTTACAATTTACATGTACTTGTCAAAAATCAAGAGAGACATTCAGAGTACAAAATTTTCCCTTAAGATTTGAGGAGACTTTTCAATTGCTTACAAAGAAATTATCTTTGAAATTAATGACACAGCCCCTTCCCATTTCTAACAGTGTTCCTGTGAAATAAGATAAATAATAACAATACAAAACACAGAGCCTTACTCTGGACTGAGTTCTCACATGCCGATAAATGAGTCTTTGCCCGTTTAAATGAACAATCATGTATATAGTTTCAGTAGACAAAAAACCAGAAACAGTTGTAAGAACGACAATGAAAATGTATTATGCAGTTTAAAAGGCTCTTGCTAAGCATTACACTTACTTTATGGCTTCACACATATCCAGTCCCATTTTCACACAATTCTTGGCATGGTTAGGGAGAGATATAGGCAGTCCGGACACACAGTAGTAGCAGTCTCCTAAAATTTTTATTCTCATGCATTCATTCTCCTGAAAGAAGAAGTCACAGAATTTCAACTGCATTGCACGTGTGCTAAGTTGCTTCACTTGTGTCCAACTCTTTGAGACCCTATGGACTGTAGCCTGCCAGGCTCCTCTGTCCATGGGATTCTCCAGGCAGGAATATTGGAGTTGGCTGCCATGCCCTCCTCCCTAGGGGATCTTCCTGACCCAGGGATTGAACCCCTGCCTCTTGCATCTCCTGCATTGGCAGGAGAATTCTTTACCACCGTGCCAACCTGAGAAGCCGCAAACCAGTTCAGTTTCCCTTAACTGCCCATGAAGACTGAGCCACCCTCACCCACACACCCCTTTACCAAAGCAGGAAGGATGAGGGCAAGGGGTGGGAGGGGAAGTCTGAGAGAGTATTCTGGAATGAATTACACTTAGCAGAGAAATGTGAAGACAGGCCCATGCTTTATAGTCTGAACATCCTCAAATACTGACAGTGAAATGAAACGTTCTGTGCATAGTAGAATTTTTCAGGATAGAAAATGGTGATCAGAACTCAATTGGAATTAGAATTGTATGTCATTTCCTACTATGGTCATAGTTTTCCTCACTTCTTTCAAAGCTGAAGTGAATTCTTACCTGCAGACATGTAGCTTCTGATAAACATCACTACAGTATAATGCATTATAATGAGCCATCATTCAACATTGCCAGATGATTTAAAACTTAATTCTGAACTTAGGTTAAACCATTTTAATATCAAGTTAAACAAACTCATTTTTCTTGGCTGGGTTGTATTTATATTACAATATCGAGATCAATTTCATTCATATGCATCAATCCTACATCCATTTCTAACCTTTTCAACTAGCTTTTAGACTCTTCACTCAAATTTAAAATAAATACATAGATATAGAAGCACCAAACACAGATTTTTTTTTCCCCTTCTTAACACACAGGCTTATGGATAAACTGAAGATATTTGAAATAATAAAATGAACATAAGATCTTTTTGTCCTTAAAACATGCGTTAGATTTATGGAAGGTTTTCGCATATTTCTCTCTCTGTCTCATAGAGAGCTTGTGTACTTCCATGCTTATCTACAGCACTGCAGAGGGTCTGTTAATAAATCTTGATAGCAATTTTATATAATAAAAAGGGAAAACATTGTTTATTAATCAGGTTCACCTTCCTGACAGCTCAGTTGGTAAAGAACCCGCCTGCAGTGCAGGATAACCCGGTTCGATTCCTGGGTTGGGAAGATCCCCTGGAGAAGGGAAAGGCTACCCACTCCAGCATTCTGGCCTGGAGAATTCCAAGGGGGTTGCAAAGAATCCGACATGATTGAGCAACTTTCACTTTCACTTCCTAAATATGTGTTCTGAGTCTAGAAACAGTAAGATTAATAACAGTGAAATCTTGGTAGCCTTAACAAAGACCAGTTGACTGCATGGGATTATTTCTGGTCTCTCTATGGTGTTCTATTGGTCTATATGTCTGTTCCTAGTATCCTACTGGTTTGAATTGTTGTAGCTGGAAGATATTTTGAAACCAGGAAGTATGAAGGCTCTAGCTTTGTTCTTCTTGCTCAAAATTGCTTTGGATATCTGTGGTCTCTTGTAATTCTATATAAATTTTAGGATTGATTTTTTTTCTACTTCTGTAAAAACTGTATTGGGCTTTTGATTGGGATTGCATTGCATCTGTAGATGGCTTTGGGTACTATTTTAACAAGATGAATTCTTCCAACCCATGAATATGGAATATCTTTCTACTTATTTGTGCCTACTTATATTTCTTTCATCAATGTCTTATAGTTTTTGGTGTGTAAGTCATTCACTTGCTTAGTTAGGGCTTCTCAGGTGGTGCAGTGGTAAAGAACTGCCTGCTAATGCAGGAGACGTAGGAGACATGGGTTTGATCCCTGGGTCAGGAAGATTCCCTGGAGTAGGAAATGACAACCCACTTCAGTATTCTTGCTGGTAAAATACCATGGCCAGAGGAGTCTTATGGGCTACAGTTGACGGGGTCATAAAGAATCAGACACGACAGTATAGTCTCTTTAGTTAAGTTTATCCCTAAGTTTTTCATTCTTTTTGATGATAATGTAGATGGAATTGTTTCCTTGATTTTCTTTTGAGATACTTCATTGTTAGTGTATAGAAACACAACAGATTATTGTACACATACTTTGTACCCTGCAACTTTACTGAGTTTAATACTACTAACAGATTTTTATGCTTCCCTCGTAGCTCAGTTGGTAAGGAATCTACCTGCAAGGCAGGAGACCTGGGTTCAGTCCCTGGGTCGGAAAGATCTCCTGGAGGAGGAAATGGCAACCCACTCCAGTATTCTTGCCTGGAGAATCCCATGGACAGAGGAGCCTGGCAGTCTACAGTCCACGGGGTCACAAAGAGTCAGACACGACTTAACGACTAAACCACCAACCACCGCCACCAACCAATTTTTGTGAGCTCTTTAAAGTTTTCTACATATAAGGTCATATCATATGCAAACAGTAATAATTTTACTACTTTTTTGACTTGAATGCCTTTCTTTTTCTTGCCTAAGGCCTGTGTCAAGAACTTCCAGCACTATGTTGAAATGAACTGGTGAGAGCAGGTCCTTGTCTTCTCCCCAGTCTTAGAAGAAAAGGTTTGTTTTTCACTGCTGAATAGGATGTTCATGGTGGGCTTTTCACATATAGCTTTATTGTGTTGAGCTGAGTTCCTTCTTATTAGTTGAGAGGTTTTACTTATAAAAAGGTGTTCAGTTTTGTCAAATGCTCTTTCTGCAATTGAGATGATTATGTGTTTTTTATCCTTCATTATGTTAATGCAGTATGTATATATCTCATCAACTGATTTGCTATGCCATCCAACTTGCATCCCAGAGATAAATCCCATTTGGTCATGGTATTTGATTTTTCTTAATGTGCTGTTGAATTTGCTTTGTTAATTAAAATAAATTCTTCAGCGCCCAGCCTTCTTTGAGCTTTTGAACTGTGGTGTTGGAGAAGACTCTTAAGAGTCCCTTGGACTGCAAGGAGATCCAACCAGTCCATCCTAAAGGAAATCAGTCTTGAATATTCATTGGAAGGACTGATGCTGAGGCTGAAGCTCCAGTACTTTGGCCACCTGATGCAAAGAGCCAACCCATTAGAAAAGACTCTGATGCTGGGAAAGATTGAAGAAAGTAGGAGAAGGGGACGACAGAGAATGAGATGGTTGGATGGCATCACCGACTCAACAGACATGAGTATGAGCAAGCTCCAGGAGATAGTGAAGGACAGGGAAGCCTGGTGTGCTACCGTCCATGAGGTCGAAAAGAGTTGGACAGGACTCAGTGACTGAACAACAGCAACAACAGAGTGAAATAAGCCAGAAACAGAATGACAAATGCTACATGATACCACGCATATGAGGAGTCTCATTGGTCAAACACAGAAACGGACTGTAGAATGATGGTTTCCAGGCCTGGGAGAGGGGGAAAGTGGGGAAGTATTGGTCAAATGGTAAAAAGTTCCAGTTAGGCATGATGAGTAAGTCCTAGAGATCTACTGTACAGCACAGTGTCTATAACTAATGATACTATACTGTATACCTAAACACGGGCTGCAAAGGTAGATCTTAAGTGTTTTAATCACAAAATAATAATGACGATGATGATAATAAAAATGATAATGAATTAAAAGGGCAAAATGAAGATCTGTAGGTGATAGATGACTATGGCATAGATTGTAGTGATGGTTTCAAGGGTGTATCCCTAAGGCTCAATAAGTTGTATGCATATTAAATATGTACAGCTTTTCGTAAGCCAACTATACCCCATTAAAGTGGATAAAATATCACAGCGAATGAGCAATGACGCTGAGTTCCTTAAAGTAATGTGCTTTTTGTGGCATTCACTCAATGGACTGAGCTGTTTGCTTACAAGGTTCTCTGATTCCATGATCTGAACTATGAGACATGAACTGATATCCAAAGCATGCTGCCCCTGTGACCAACAAAGGGTGGACCAAGCTGTCCTAGTCTAGACTCTGATATTGCCTGGACATTCCTTTGTTATAATCATCAGAGAGGAGCAGGAAATCACACTGATTATGTCTTCTGTGTGATATAAACTCAGTCCTCCTCAAATTCATATATTGAAATTCTAACCCCTGGTACCTGTAAATGTGACTTTATTTGGCAATAGGGTTACTGTAGACATAATTAACTAAGATACGGTCATACAGGAGTAGAAACTGTTTCTCCCTCAGTCGTGTCCGACTCTGTGTGACCACATGGACTGCAGCCCACCAGCCTCCTCTGTCCATGGGATTTTCCAGGCAAGAATACTGGAGTGGGTTGCCATTTCCTGCTCCATACAGGAGTAGGGTGGGCCCCTAATCCTGTATGATTGGTGTCCTTATAAAGAGAAGTAATTTGGACACAGAGCTCTGAACACAGGGAAAATGTCATCAGAACACTGGAACCTTGTTGTCACCAGCCATGATTGGAAAGTTTCTTCCTAACGTGTCACCAGGTAGGGCAGCAAAAATGACCTTTTATTAACTAAAACTTCCAAGATGTTATTTTTTAACAGATAATCTCTCTATGCTTTTATTTGGTTTAATAATCATTCATTGAAAAGTATTTCCTTTCCCCTGCTTAGGTCACAAGGAACCAATAATTGGCAACATAGACAACTGGCTGCTCCTTCATGGAGAATGTAGTCAAGATATTTGTTTTCTTTTTTCTCCTAAAGATGAGCCCTCCCAACCCCAATGCAACCTTTTCCTTTGGTTTGGTAAAGGAAGGAATCAGAGCAGTAGTCTCAGTGAATTGTTTAGAATCCCCAGTGAAATCTTCATGGTCAATTGGGCAATATAAGGCATCTCATGGGGAGCTTGACCGAGGAGTGACTCTGTGAACATCTGAAAGCCAGATTTGTGCCTGGGAGCTTGGCTGGAATGTTCTCTATTGTTTAAGTGTGAGGGAAATTTCACCATAAACTGAACTTAGAACTAACTCTTCCTAATGTAAAAAATACATTTTGATAAGCATAATAAAGGATTTTTGTTGGGAACCACTCAAAGACAAAAATTAAGACCAGAAACATTTTATGAGACAGAAATAGAGGGCTAGCAAGAAAAAAAATACCAACATTCCCACCAGAAATCTTAATCGTTCCAATAAATAAGTCTGGAGTGTGGTCTGGTATGGTTTTAAATCAGCTGTCATCATTTCTTCTCTGTGAAACTTCCCACAAATGAGCATATGAGTGGTGAATACTGAGCTTACATCTCTGCAAGTGGCACAAGGGCCAATGGATGAAAATCAGACAGCAGTAAATAAGGCCTTAGGAAGAAGGGATGCATCCTGTCTTAAGGATTTTCCCAGCATGCCGCTTAACACTGTGAATATGTAAAGGTTACAACTGGAGAGGAAATTATGTTTCCAACTCATTGACATCAAAATGCCTAAAAAGAGAAGCTAAGAACAGCACAGTGCAGAGAGATGTGCAAATCAAGTCTCGTTATCTTGAATGTATTTATTATATGCGTGCTGAATTATATATAAGCCAGAGTCTTAAAAATAAATGAAAGCATATGCTAGTTATATGCTACAGCATTTTCTCTTTCCCAGTGTAGGTCTGAGACTTACCAATGGCAAATAAGTCCAACAAATCTAAGATTCCTAAAGGATGCTTTTATGAAGAGGCAAAAAACTGGTAAGGACCAAGAAAAGGTAAGCCCAAATTTTATATATCCTCAAAATAGAAAGCAGTCACAAATACTCACCTTTGCAATTTGATCGAACTTTCCAAAGAGTTCATTCAGCATGTGGACGAGTTCTCCAGGCGAGCAGTCACTGGCCAGACGGGTGAACCCAACAATGTCCGCGTAAAGGATACTGTGGGAACAAGCCAAGGGGTGCATATGTGCAAGCTTATATTCGCTAAGAAAGTAATGGTAGTCTTTCCCATTAGAAGAGGACAATTTCTTATGTTTTACATTTTTTGCAAAACATCATTCCCCTGGGTATGGAATACATAAACATGTTGCTAAACTTTCCCATTAATTTTTTTGATGTTACATTTTTATAATCAAGATCGGGGAAGAAAGCCATGTGATCCACTTTCTCTATTCTAGTCCATTCTTACTGACAACACTTGTCCTCTCAGGGCCAGCCCCTCCTTCCCATTCTGGCTTATGTGGTCCTCATCCTGACAGTTCATTACAGTGTCATAATTCTGATATCAAAGAAATATGCTTCTGTTTGAACTGTTAAGTGATTTTATATTGTAAGTATTCTTAAGTAGAAGAAGCAAAATCATAAAAGTCAAATCCTGTTTTTTGATTGAAAGACAAAATTCTGGGTTCTTTACTAACTTCCAGGAAAGGAGATGCCTCTTCCTAAAGCTCAGAGCTGAGTTTGGGGGAAGCATTAAACGAGGAAGGACGCCAACTAATGTCCAGTTACAGTAATAACAAGGACTATAAAGGCAAACAGTAGAATGCCATCAATCAGAGTACTAGGGGTGGTAAGCTGAGCACCGAAGAATGAATGCTTTTGAACTGTGGTGCTGGAGAAGACTCTTGAGAGTCCCTTGGACTGCAAGGAGATCCAACCAGTCCATCCTAAAGGAGATCAGTCCTGGGTGTTCACTGGAAGGACTGATGCTGAAGCTGAAACTCCAATACTTTGGCCACCTCATGCGAAGAGCTGACTCATTTGAAAAGACCCTGATGCTGGGAAAGACTGAAGGCAGGAGGAGAAGGGGACAACAGAGAATGAGGTGGTTGGATGGCATCACCAACCCAATGGACATGAGTCTGAGTAAACTCCGGGAGCTGGTGATGGACAGGGAGGCCTGGTGTGCTGCGGTCCATGGGTTGCGAAGAGTTGGACACGACCGAGCGACTGAGCTGAACTGAGGGGAGGTGAAGAATCTGGGACACAGCCACTAAGGAAATGACGGCACAGCTTCCCCTCTCGGCGTGTACAGGCTGGGGCAAATGCGAGATTCCTTAGAGTTTTGTACGCGTTTAGCTAACCTTGATGAATCAGGATAGAAGAACACAACACCTGCGTGTGCATTACAACTTTACCTATACAGCAACATGCTTATGTTTTACATAAAGACCTATTATGTGTTCAGTTGTGTCTGACTCAGACCCCATGGACTGTAGCCCACCAGGCTCCTCTGTCCATGGGATTCTCCGAGCAAGAATACTGGAGTGGGTTGCCATTTCCTCCTCCAGGGGATCTTTCCCACCCAGGGACTGAACCCACTTCTCTTGTATTTCCTGACTTGCCAGGTGGATTCTTTACCACTGTGCCACCTGGGAAACCCCGAAGACCTAATAAAGAAGCCTAAAATTGCTGCTGACAATTTGAGTTTCAGGTAATACATACAGTATTGTTTAAGATGGGCCATGAAACAAAAATAACTGCCAATTCACACTCATTAGGATAGTTTTTTTTTTTTTAAAGAAAATAACAAGTGTTGCTGAGGATGTAGAGAAATTAGAACCAGTAAGCATCCTAGGGGAAATGTAAAATGGTATAGGCACTACAGAAAAGAGTATGATGTTTCTTCAAAAAAATGAAACAGAATTATTGGATGAACTCGCAGTTCCACTGCTGGGTATACACCCCAAAGAACCAAAAGTAGGAACTCAGATATTTATATACCCGTGCCCACACTCTGCCTCAGGATGAAAAGGCCATAGGTTTCAGATTTCTTTTAAAATTAATTGGTACTGCATGGCATTTAAGCTTCTGTATTTTCAAGTTTTAAGTTGTGTATTTACTGTAGGAGCTTCCCTCCTGGCTCAGACAGTAAAGACTGCCTGCAATGCAGGAGACTCAGGTTTGATCCCTGAGTTGGGAAGATCCTCTGGAGAAAGGAATGGCAACCCATCCCAGTATGCTTGCTTGGAAAATTCCATGGACTGGGGGGAACCAGGTGGGCTACGGTCCACGGGGTCACAGAGTCAGACATGACTGAGCGACTAACATTAACACTTTTATTTAGGATCCCAAATATATTTTCTGAATTTAAATTTGATTCAATCCTGCAAACATACTGTATGGTCTCTGAAAGCAGCTGAAGCTGCTTCACCAACCCTTTGCCTTAGATTGTGTGGTAACTGGCTTCCAAGATGGCCCCAGTCATCCTTACCTCCCTTGTACTGTCCCTCCCCATAATGGCTAGGAGTGACTTGTGTAACTAATAGAATACTATAGGCATAGCCAGAAATGACCTTCTAGAAGAGACACTGAAACTTCTGCCTGGCTCTCTCTTGGATCCTTCCCTCTGGGGAAGCAAGCCGCCATGTGAGGACACTCAAGCAACACGTGAAGAGGTCCAGTGATGAAGATCTGAGGCCTCCAGCCAACAGGAAGTTAACCTGCCCACCAGGTGAGAAGCCACATCCGGAGCACAGCCCCCAGCAGCCTGAAGCCTCATGGGGAAGTCTACGCCAGAACCACTTAAGATGCTCCCAAACTCCAGCCCACAGAAACTGTGAGATGGCTATGCTCTTTAAAACCACTAAGTTTGGGGGTAGTTTGTCACAGAGAAATTGATAAGATAGATATTATGCAGACTGTTTATCAACTGCCTGAAATTGGTCGTGTCATCCATTATTTTTGCAGGTCTAGGGTTCCTGAACTATATCAAAACCACTTAGAGTCTGTGATCCTCTTTAGATACAGACATATTAATGTTTATTTTTACACATTTTGGATACCAATAAGTGACTTAAAAATATTTCAGGAGATGGAAGGGCCATTCCTGATTTTTAGACACTTAAGGCTAGAAAGAGCAATTTCTAGTAAAATACAACTTATCAGATACTATAAATTTTTTGTCTTTAATCATGTAGGCAAAAATGCTTAAAAACCTAAAGGCAAGCTAGTATTTTAAATAATTTCACTCATTAATATGTATGAATGTTCTCTCTCTGTGTTTATATATATATACATACACATACACACACACACACACACATATATATATAGACACATACACACCCATAGTTTATTATTCAAAAAAATGATAGGGACTTAAAAATATTTACTCCTGATTCCTCATTGATATGCAACTTTTTTCTGTTACCTCCCTCTCAATAAACGTTTCTTATTGTATATTAGCTCTTGTGCGCTTGGGCCACACCTCTTTCTAAAATCATGTGTTAAAATGAGATTTGTCTTAGCAATGCAGTTAAGCTACAGTTAGTGCTTCCCTGGTGGCTCAGATGGTAAAGAATCTGCCTGCAATGCTGGGTGTGATCCTTGGGTCGGGAAGATCCCCTGGAGAAGGGAATGGCAACCAACTCCAGTATTCTTGCCTGGAGAATTCCATGGACAATGGAGCCTGGCCAGCTAAGGTCCACGGGGTCGCACAGAGTCCGACACGACTGAGTGACTAACAGTTTCACTTTCATTTTAAGCTACAGTTAAATTTATTTCTTATTAATCGATTTCAGAAATCCTTGACCTGAAGTAATCGGACCTAAGGCAGCAAAATGCAATGGAAAAAGTCTGGAGTTGGGGGCAAACAGCCTGAGTTTGATTCTAGACGATGAGCTACACGTTTCAGCTTTGTTTGTGGTTGTTGTTAATAAACTGTTGAATGGAGGGGCGAGTAACCCTGACAACTAAAGAAGTAAAGTGATGAATGAGGCAGGCACAAGTTACTCACTGAGATAACTCAGCCAGAAGAGCAAGCATCACTGCAGTATAATGGAACAGATGGAAGGACAGGCCTCCATGGAATTGGGATCAGAAACAGGTCAGCATGGAGGTGAGGACCAGAGTGCCTATGTCTGGAGGGGCCAGAAACCACGAGGAGCACGGGAGGGAACACCCCCTCCAGACTGAAATGAGGGCCCACCTGGCACCCGTCCAGAGCTCGGGGGAGAAGAGGTCCTACACGACCTCTCTCCTGACCACAGTTCCTTGTTAGTTTTCCAGTCACGAAGATGCCAGGAATGGCTGCCTGGGAAGCATATATGACTGCCGCTCTTGGACCAGCTGTACTTGCAGTGTAATTCAGTTAAGGTGCACGCTGGTCACCTACAATGCTGGTACTCGCCGTACCCAGATACCCCACCCCCCACATTCCTGGTGGACAGCAGGATACCCAGCCTCCCTGCAAAGTGCTGGCTCCCTGAGACCCTGCTCCCGCCAAGCCCATCTTGGGGAACCAGCCCTTGTGCCGAGAGCCCACGAACTCTCTAATCTTACTGAGATACCGAGTCCTGGGTTCCTGGGACACAGGGAGATCTGACCTGAGAGTTGAATGAAGGCCCCACCGCCCACTTCTCTCCTCTTTGTAATGGCTGGTCCCAAAATGCAACAAGTAGAAAGGCCTGTTTTCTCATCTGAATGACCGGGAGGGTCTCGCGCACGGGTAGGTGGAGTGGACACTATGCTTTGTGCCAAGGGGAACACCTCCGAAGGCCACGTGACGCTGTCAGACGGGGACTTCCGGTGACCTACATCCGCCGCCCGGCGTCGGGCTCCCCAGCCGCGCCGAGGAGGGAAGGCGGCGCAGCGTACCTGACGTTGGTGTGCCGCTTGACGTAGAGGTTGTGGAAGTTGTTGGTGTTCTCCATCTGGCCGGCTTTGGGGCCCTGCAGCCTCTGGATGATCTCAGCTTTCATCTCCATGGCTATGTGTGCCGGCAGCAAGGACAGCAGGAGCCGCTCCTGGAGCCAGGGTGGAAGGAAGACAGAGAGATGTCACACCACCGAGGTCACAGCAAGGACCGAATGAAACCATCACGGAGCGGGGCCAAGCTGAGGACTCGAGCAAGTTCAGATACACATTCTAGCGATAACATGTTAAAAAAAATCCAATTTTCCAAGGTCGGAGTGTGTTATTAGATTATTTACTGAGTTCTAAGCATATGTTCTGCAGTGCAAAGAAAAGGAAGGCATAGTTATTTCCCCGAGGATATTATTTATCTATTGTGATTTTTAAAGGAGTGAAACGGAAATAATACGAAGATGCCAGAAACCAGTGGTCAGTCGGAGATAGAAGACTCTCATTTTTGCCTACTTGTTCACTTGAGAGATAAAGTACAAGCTATATTGCACTTTTGAAAGTCAAGCAATATTCCACATTTCCTAAATAAGATAGTCACACATTTTCAAACATTTCATTTCCTCTGTGGTGATCATACAATCCTTTTTCGTGATTCTGAACTATTATAAAGACAGAGTCAGAAATATTAGTCTCTGAGAAAATGTCATCTATGAGAAACTATAGGTGGGTCACAAAGAAATGACAGCATATGAGCCTTCTTATTTTTTTAGTCTTTCAATTCAGTAAATGCTGTACATGATAGCATGCAATATTATACATATGTTAATATGCATTTATTATACTTAGAATGGCACTTTTTCATTCCCTTTAAAGAAACTGTAATTTTTTTTTTTGAGAAGAAATATCATGGAAGGTCAATCTTTGAAAGTTGATATTTACTCTAGAGTACTTTAAACATAAATCTATTATAGAAAACACCACATATTCCTCAGGTATTGTGGATTTAGCTAGTGATATGCAGTGTGTATAAACGAGCACCTGTTAAGCGAAAGAGTTTCTCTTCTTGCACGTTTTTCTCTTTAACAGATTTCATTTTGGACAAAGTGGTGAGAGAGTGGAGGAGGGTGGGTGAAAGTGGGCTTTGCCCCCGGATGCCCTGGCCCGCAGGTTTGTCCCCTGGATCCACCCACAGCACACGTCGCTTTGGGATGGTTGGGAACTTTCCTGATGGAGCAGAGGGGAGGCCAGAAGCACATCTTGATGTAGATGAAATGACCCTCACCACAGCCTACCCCCAGCCTGCTCCAGGAAAACACAGGTGCAAAGTCAACAGGAGACTCCGTGCGGGCCTGTGCGGGGCCTCAGTGCGTGGTCGGGGGCATCTCTCCATGAACTGGCATATCTGAGTGTTGGTCATCTGTTCCTTCCTTCCTTCATTCACCCAATCAGGAAACACCCATCACTGCCCACGGAACGCCGGACTCTTGATGAGTACTAATGATAAACGCAAAGATGAAGGAGACAGTGTCTCTAATGGCACAGCTGCCAGAGGAGACTAGGAGGACAGGCTGTTCGGAGGAATCCACACACCTTGGAAAACAGAAGGGAGCTCACAGAGCAGGAGCCCCTGCCATGCACCACATGCTTCCGGGAGCTCTGTGCGTGCTATGTCAATATCAGAAAAAGAGTGCAGATAGTTCAGTCTTGCGGGAAAAGGATCGACCAGTCCCCATAGTTTTTAGAAGAAATTTTTTTGAAGGGGTAGCGATACCACTAGATTTCATTGTGGACAGTGGCAACATAACCCCTTATGTGGTTCCTTGCACTCACAGAGACCGGTGATGTGAAGGGCAGTTAAGTGGGGGGTCTTTTTTATTGTTTGATGTCTCAACTCCTAGGAGTTCCTGGAAAGTAGCACTTTCTCTGTAGTTATTTGCTGAATGAATGAATGCCCTGCAGTGCATTTTGTCTGGGGCATAATAAAGAAAAATCCCATTTCAAAGCCCATGTTCATTGTTGGTACTGCATATGGTAGAGACCCGGGTAGGCAGGGCTTATGTTTCAAGATCAGATTAATGACCTTCTTAGTCATCAATACCAGGCCTGGGCAAAATCTGGGTCAGCGATCTTCACCCAAAGGGAAATTTAACTATTCTGCAAAGCAAGGCAATGCTTATTTTGGGTTTTTCTCTCTGGCAGACAGTGACACTGGGAGAAAGAGTGGCTGCCTCTGGAGATACAAGAGGAGCCCCAACTTCACATCAGCAGGCTGCACCCAAGGAGAAAGGGAACATTCAAAGTGTCTCCTGGTTGGAAAACCATTGGTAAACACCACCAACCACTTGAAGTTACATTTTGATTTGATTCCTATTCTGAGCTTGAATTTCCTTTCATTATTCTCCAAGTTTCACTAATGACCTAACAATACAACAGCATCATGTTAGCTTAAAGGTGAGGAGGTGAATTCCAATTTTGGACTAAAGCAAAACTTTGAAAGAGCAGGAACCCTGTCCAACGGCGAGATCTCTCAGCATGCAGACAAGGGCCAAGATGAACAACAGCAGGATGACAGAGAATAACTGAGTTCAATAATAGAAGAAGAAATCAAGACATGTTTTGGTTTGTTAACAGAAAAAGTGACCCCAGAAAAATGGAGCCACGAGGAACTCAGATTACCAAGGAATTACTAATGATGTGAACAATGTTCAGTCGCTCAGTCATGTCCAACTCTTTGCAATCCCATGGACTACAGCACGCCAGGTTTCCCTGTTCATCACCATCTCCCCGGGCTTGCTCAAAGTCATGTCCATCGAGTTGGTGATGCCATCCTACACTCTCATCCTCTGTCATCCCCTTCTCCTCCTGCCCTCGATTTTTCCCAACATCAGCGTCTTTTCCAATGACATGAAAAATGGATATCCATATTTTAACACTTAGAATAAAACCTGTATCCCTGTTACACACAAATCGAGAGTTCAAAACATTCGGCTGATGATCTAGTGTCTACAAATCTGATCCCTCTACTATGTCAGAACCCAACGAAAAGGTAGTGGGATTTATTTTTTAAATAAATGGCACTTTACTACCTTTTGTAATCTTACTACAAAGTAGAGCTATTCCATCATCTACCTGTCTTTTGCTACTCACCCATCAAATACATGTAACTGCCTCTTACTTTCTTTTTTCTACATTTTGGCTTCCATGGCCAACCAGATGGTTAGACATTTGGGAAGTCTGAAAGTCACAAAATATGTGATACATCCAAGGAAGTACTTAGATGATAGACTTTGCTTCTTCAAGTTTGGAACCGAGTTATGCTAATGTTGCCTTCACTCAACTCCAGTTTGGTAGCTATTGAGCCCTCTGTATGTACTGAGTAACTCTGTATAATGGTCTCTGTTTCTCTATTTATTGATCACTGTATTGGATGAGGTCAAAATTGTATAAGGAGTCATAATGTTCAAAATCTATTTAAACAAAGAGAGGAAATCTAGGAAGAAAACTGTGGAATTGATGTTAGCAAAGTCAGAAGACTCATCTGGTCATCCTCTAAGGCATGATGAAAGCAGACCCAGATGGGAGACAAAGGAGGCATGTTACTGTGTGTTAGGTGCTCAGTCGTGTCTGACTCTTCTGCGACCCAGTGGACCCTGGCAGGCTCCTCTGTTCATGGGATTCTCCGGGCAAGAATACTGGAGTGGGTTGCCATTCTCTTCTCTAGAGGATCTTCCTGACCCAGGAATAGAACTTGCATCTCCTGTACTATAGGCACATTCTTTACTGAGTCAGTTCAGTTCAGTTGCTCAGTTGTGTCCGACTCTTTGCAACCCCATGGACTGCAGTACACCAGGCTTCCCTGGAGCTTACTCAAACTCATGTCCATCAAGTCAGTGATGCCATCCAACCATCTCATCCTCTGTCATCCCCTTCTCCTCCCACCTTCAATCTTTCCCAGCATCAGAGTCTTTTCCAATGAGTCAGTTTTTTGCATCAGGTGGCCAAAGTATCGGAGTTTCAGCTTCAGCATCAGTCCTTCCAATGAATATTCAAGACTGATTTCCTTTGGGATGGACTGGTGGAATCTCCTTGCAATCCAAGGGACTCTCAAGAGTCTTCTCCAACACCATAGTTCAAAAGCATCAATTCTTCTACTGAGTCAGAGATGCCATCAAATCTCTATCATAAAGCAAGCAGATCTTGAACACAGATTTGTTAACTTCTAAAACAGTGACAAGAAATGCTGGCATGTAGGATATAATAGATTATGAATCTGGTCGAGGCTGTCTATTTAGAAATCTCAGTGGAATCTGTGTCTACAGAGATGTCTGGTGATCAACTTAATTAGATTACAGCCAACTTTGAACTTTCTGATGGATGACGGATGAGTCAAGGGCTAAGAAAAACCAAAGTGTACCAGGTCACAAATCTCAGTTGACGTCCTTCTGCATTATTACCTTATGAGGATAACTTGTGTGTCCCTGTGGACTCAGCACAGTCTTCTGTTGAATTTAAAGGTATCAGTCGATTCTCCCATGTTTACACTCGTTTCCAGTCATGGTTCTGAAGCCTATGTTGTTGGTGTCCTACCCATATTCCCTCTCCCTTCCTTGGAGGTCGCCTGCAGCCTGGTTCTTTCTAAATCTACAGTTTCCTGTGCCTCAACCAATGAGGAAGTTGATTGGTGGATAAATATCCCAGCACCCGTGCCCACGTCCTCAGTGGGGAGATCTGAGCACCTCCCACTCTTCCCTCCGAGGGTCTCCAGATGGACTGAGCCCCTGATGCCAGCCGCCCCTTTCAGTAGCTGGAGTTGGACCCTGCCTGATTCACTCCCTCACTCGGCCACCTGAAACCACATCCAACTAAATGTCCAAACTCATCCTCATCTGAGCGTTGCTCAGGGTAAACCTAACTGAGACTTTTGCAAGCACCTTCATTTTCTGCCTGGACTTCGTTTCCACCAGGACTTCCTGGTGGCTCAGACGGTAAAGCGTCTCCCTACAATGTGGCAGACTCGGGTTCAATCCCTGGGTTGGGAAGATCTCCTGGAGAAGGCAATGGCAACCCACTCCAGTATTCTTGCCTGGAAAATCCCATGGACGGAGGAACCTGGTAGGCTATAGTCCATGGGGTCACAAAGAGTCAGACACGACTCAGAGAC